CTCTAACGAGGGGGATAGACATTAATCAAATAATAACACAACACATATAACATTTCATAAAACAACCCACATTCTAGTAAATTCTGGGAGGAGAGGTTCTTGGTGCAATAGGAATTTATGACGGGTTGACCTGCTCAGGAAGGTCAGGGAAGTCTTCCCTGAGGATGTGATGACTGAGCTGATAGCTGAAGGGTAAGTAGGAATTAATGAGTGGCGAAAACAGGGGACAGCTTTCCAGGCCATGAGGACAGTGCGTGCAAGTGCCTGTGGAGGAGTTTGAGGGGTTAAAATCCAGGGTGGATAGACAGGAAAGAGTAAGGGACCAAAGAGAATCAGCCTGTGGCAATCAGGCTGTGGAGTTAAATGATGGTCCGTGCAGGGGGCAGTATAGGCTACGTTAAGAATGTTATCCCAACAGCAATGGGATGTCTTTGAAGTGTCTAAGCAAAAGTGTGTCATATGTGGGGTTTTATAAATTCACATTTTATCAAAATCCTATATTCTAAAACATTTTAAAATATACTCTCAGCTGAGTGTGGTAGACCACACCTGTATTCCCAGCACTTTGGGAAGCTAAGGCAGGAGGATCACTTGAGCCTAGGAGTTTGAGACCAGCCTGGGCAACATAGCAAGACCCCATGTCTAAAAAAAAAAAAAAATTAGCCAGGCATGGTGGTGCATGCCTATAGCCCTATCTACTTGGGAAACCAAAGCAGGAAGATTACTTGAGCCTGGGAGCTGGAGGTTGCAGTGAACTGTGATTACAGCAGTGTACTCCTGTCTGGGTGACAGAGCAGGCCCCTATCTCTAAAAAAAACATACTCTCAACACACGTACACACCTCTAGTATTCCTTTCCCTTAATCTACTCTAATTTCCAGTGACTATGGTAACATGGGATTATACAAGAAGTTAGCCTTGGACACATAGTTCATAGGCAAGAATTTTTGTTTGTTTATGGGAGAAATAATGTCTCATCAAATGAGTTGATTCACTTGGGATATATTCCTTTGTTCATTTTCTGGAGTTTTTGTAGAATTGTTACTACTTCTTACTAATGTTTGTTAAAATTCCCCAGTGAAGCAATCTGGACCTGGATTTTTCTTTGTGGGAAGATTTGTAGCTACAAATTTAATTTCTTTAAAAGATATAGGGTCATTCAGGGTATCTTGGAGCTTTGATAGGTTGCCTCTTCAAGGAATTTTTTCATCTAATACACCAAACGTATTGATGTAAAGTGGTTCACAATATTCCCTTGTACTTTTTTTTTTTTTCAGTAACTGGATACTAACCCTTGTACTTTTAGTAACTATAGGATCTGTAGTGCTACCAGCTCTCTCATTACTGACATTGCTAATTTGTGTATCCCTCTGCCTTCTTCCCTCCTTTCCTCCCTCTCTCTTTCCTGATCAGTTTGGCTAGAAGTTTATCAAACTTATTTATCTTCTCAAGAACTAGCTTTTGGTTTTGTTAATTTCCTCGATTGTGTTTCAACTTTTACATTTTCATTCAGTTAAAATTATATCTTAATTTCCCTTTTGATGTCTTTTTCTGACCCACTAATTATTTAGAAGTATATTAATTTCCAAATAGGAAATTAATAGATATTTTTGTTTTAATTTCTAGTTTAATTCTATTGTGGTCAGAGAACATACCATGTATGACTTGCATCCTTTCAAATTTATTAAAATTTGTTTTATAGCCTAGAAGATGTAAAATCTTTGGCCACTATCTCTTCAAATAATTTAATTCATTTAAATAATTTTTTTGCTCCCCAGAGTTCTTTAAGCACTCCAATTATAGACATAATACTTGGCTGCTTAAAGTCATCTCACCCTTTGCTGATGCTCTATTTATTTTGGTTAGAGTGTGTTTTGGGTTTTTTTTGGTCTTTTTTCTATTTCCTTTTAGAGAGTTTCTATTGATATATCTTCAAGGTCACTAATTTTTTTTTTTTTTTTGAGACAGAGTCTCACTTTGTTGCCCAGTCTAGATTGAGTGCCATGGCGTCAGCCTAGCTCACAGCAACCTCAGACTCCTGGGCTCAAGCGATCCTGCTGCTTCAGCCTCCTGAGTAGCTGGGACTACAGGCATGCGCCACCATGCCCGGCTAATTTTTTCTATATATATTAGTGGCCAAGTAATTTCTTTCTATTTGTAGTAGAGACAGGGTCTTGCTCTTGCTCAGGCTGGTTTCGAACTCCTGACCTCGAGCAATCTGCCCGCCTCAGCCTCCCAGAGTGCTAGGATTATAGGCGTGAGCCACCGTGCCCAGCCTTCTCTCATTTCTTGAAGAAGTGAAATACAGTTATAACAACTGTTTTAATGTCCCTGTCTACTAATCTCATCATTTGCATAATTTCTGGATCAGTTTTAATAAAATGTTTACTTTTCATTATGGGTTTTATTTTCTTGTTTATTTGCATGCCTGGTAATTTCTGATTAAATATCAATCATTGTGAATTTTACCTTGTAGGTTATTTTCATATCTCTAAAAACACTTTGAACTTTGTTCTCGAATATTTGGACGCAGTTTTTGGTCTTGCTTTTAAGCTTTGTCACGTTATACCTGAGCGTTTAGTCAAGGATTAACTTTTCCCACTATTGAAGCAAGACCTTTCGTAGTACTCTAACTGATGCCTCATGAATTATGAGCTTTTCCACTCTTGCTAGTGGGAACAGGAATCATCCACCACCCTGTGTGAGCTCTGAGTATTGTTTCCTCTAATCCTTTCCAATTGTTCTTTTCCTGGCCTTTGGTAATTTCCTCTCATGCATGTATTGATCATTGCTTAGCTGAATACTTTAGGGGAATGGTCAGCAGATCTCCAGAGTTCTGTTTAACTCTCCTTTCTAGGACTCTACCCTGTGAACTGTAGTTGCTTTGGTCTCCCAGGACTCCCAGTTCCATCTCTTCACCTCAGGGATTGTGCTGGGTTCCCACCTTGGTTCCCTCTCTCCATGCCACAGCCTAGAAACTTTCTCCAGGCAGTAAGTTGGAGTAATTATGTGGCTCACCTTGTTTGTTTTCCATCTGTTAAGGGTCACTGTTTAATAAATTTTGTCCGTCTTTAAAAAGTATTTAGAAGATCCTGTGAGGGATGAAAATTAACTATCGGGTACAATGTATACTCTTTGAGTAATGGGCACTTCACTACTGTACAATTCAACCATGTAACAAAAACCATTTGTACCCCCTAAATCTACTGATATATTTTTAAAAAGCATTTATAAGTTCCTGAGACTTGGCAGAGCTTGAAAAAAGACTTAATTTATAATTGTTTGATACATAAATTTACTAGCTTGCACAATCATTGAAGAAATTCACTCTAGTAATAATATACATTTGTATTTCAGCTGACAAAAAATTTCAACATGTAAAGAATATTAAGAATTTCTTGCCACAATTATGTTTAGAATGCTGACCTATATTATAAAGTGAATATTAAAATGAAATATTAACAATACAATGACATTTTTTCTGATTAGATATAATTACCTGCAAGGTTACTTGATCATTGATCATACACAATTTCATAGAGACCAGAAACAGTGTCAAAGTAGGTATTTACTGTTTTGGCTTTTTAAAGGTCAAGGCTGAATCAAAGGTAAACAGAAAATGTTGACTGAATATGAGGCTAAAAACTGAATTTGGTATAACATACAATAGCATTAGGTAAGTAAAGATATAAAAGGGTAGAGAAGCTGTTCTAGTTTCTCTTTTTACTAAAGTTTTATTTGAAATCAAAGATTTATACATAATTTAAAAACAAAACAAAACCTATTAAAAAAAACAGCAGCAGGCCGGGGCGTGGTGGCTCACGCCTGTAATCCTAGCACTCTGGGAGGCCGAGGCGGGCGGATTGCTGAGGTCAGGAGTTCAAAACCGGCCTGAGCGAGACCCCCTCTCTACTAAAAATAGAAAGAAATTAATTGACCAACTAAAAATATATAGAGAAAAAATTAGCTGGGCATGGTGGTGAATGCCTGTAGTCCCAGCTACTTGGGAGGCAGAGGCAGGAGGATCGCTTGAGCCCAGGAGTTTGAGGTTGCTGTGAGCTAGGCTGATGCCAGGGCACTCACTCTAGCCAGGGCAACAAAGTGAGACTCTGTCTCAAAAAAAAAAACCAGCAGCAGCCCCACAACACCATGATGAAGCAGCTATCCAGCTGCTCTTTTTCCCTCCTTTTGTGTGTCCACTTTATTTATTTATTTAGAGACAGAGTCTCACTTTGTTGCTCAGGCTAGAGTGAGTGCCGTGGCGTCAGCCTAGCTCACAGCAACCTCAATCTTGGGCTCAAGCGATCCTACTGCCTAAGCCTCCCAAGTAGCTGGGACTACAGGCATGTGCCACCATGCCCTGCTAATTTTTCGTATATATATATTTTTAGTTGGTCAATTAGTTTCTTTCTATTTTGTAGAGACGGGGGTCTCGCTCAGGCTGGTTTCGAACTCTTGACCTTGAGCAATCTACCCGCCTCGGCCTCCCAGAGTGCTAGGATTACGGGCATGAGCCACCTCGCCCAGCCCAACTTTCAACAATTTTAAATGGGCTTATATGCCAAAGGAGATGCAGGACCTAGCCAACATGTACCAACAGGAGCCAGGAAGAGTACGTATAGAACTGGGTCCTGAGGTTTCTGGATTAGAAGCAGTTTGCATTTATATAGGAAAGACAACAGCACACATTTATGGTCTTGCCCTAGGGTTTTAACTCTCCCACCTTCATTTTATAAACGAGGAAACTGAACCCTAGAGTTTAGAGAGACTTGCTTGAAAAACCTATGTAAGATAAGAATGAATATGCCACTGCTCCTGAAAGTTCTTGGCCCAAGATGGAATTTAGTCACAGTTAGAAACTCTTATACTAATAAAATGTATACATCAAATTAAGATTAGGAAAAGTTAAACATTAAGTAAGGACTGAAGCATTTGTTCATTTTGAAAAGCTTTTTATTAATATTTACTACATTTAACTTTTTAAATAAAAATTGGAGGAAAGCCCATGAACTAGTTTATTTTCCATTTGGCATGATGATAATTTAATGGTACTCTCCTCTTCCCGACTCCTGTTTTAGATCAGTCCTTGTGGATCCTTTTCTCTGTAATGGTTTCATTCTTTTTGCTTTAAATTGCAATCAGGACAGATTAATAGATGGGTTGAGTAGCTAATTCACATCTCTGAAGTTCTCTATATGAGTCTTCATAGTTCTCTTACCTTACCAAGTTTGCTTTCCTATGAGAATTTTGTCATAACCACAGGGTTAATTCCTCAGACGTGCCATTTAGGAAAATTAACCTGGCAGTAGTAAACAGACTGGATTAGAAAAGGTGGTGAATGGAATGAGGATATTGCCATAAATGGGCAAGCTACAGTAGGATCTTGAGTTAGGATGATGACAGTGACAAAACGAAGGAGACCCAAACAAGAGATTGTGAAGACTGAATGGATTGGAGAATTGGCTGTGGATGAAAAGAAGAAATCAAAGATGCCTGAAGTTGTGAACTTCACTAGCTCTGGTTCAAATCCTGGTTTTGACTTTTACTAGCTTGGTATATACTAGCTGCCCAATACTAACTTACCTATTAACTTTTGGTCTTGTAATTTAAGCCTCAGTTTCCTCTACTGTAAAACAGGTATAATAATACCTATCAAAATAAGGCTGATGCAAAGAGTCAAGTAAAATAGAAGACCCTTAGTACAGTGCCTAGTACGCAGTAAGTACTAGATAGATGGTAGTCATTAGCAGGGATGACAACAAAAGGTTAAAAACGTGTAACTACAGTAAGGACTTTGGATGGGGGTTCAATCTTTCTACTACACATAACTACCCAAAGAATGGGGTTTTGGAAGCGTTTGATAATTTGACTAACAATCCTCCTCTCTCTGGGGCATCCTGACAGAAGATAACCATCCACACAGCGCCCTGATATAAACTGGATTGCAGAATCCAATTTCAGCTAGGAGCTCAGATGACCCGGGCTTCTTGCTTCCTATTTTATCCCCCTTAAGCTAAGATAGTTGGGTCTACAGTGCAGACTCTGGCCTAACTTACACTCTTATTTGGTGATAAAAGAACAGAAAGATTAAGATGGCTAGACCATATCAATTACAAGAATAAGCAAGAGAGCATGAAAAAAGAATGGTCTCATTTGCCCTGAGGAGGAAGGAAAGGAATGTCCAAGTGTGCTTACCTCAAAGTTGACTAGAAATAAATGACAGGGAGGCCTGGGTTCTTGCTCTTAAGTCAGTCTCCTTGCCATTAGTAAAATGTGGTCGATGAATGTCCTCAGTTCTGTCTATCTGTGTAGGAAGTGGGATGTGTAAAGGGATGAGAGGGACGTTTTTCTCAGCAGCATCTATCACACCTGGCCTAGAGGCACACTGCGATGCCTCCACCAGGACCCCCGGCGGCCTCGCTGGTATTTTTCCTGGAACATGGGCTATCTGTCCCACCCGTCCTCCAGGTGGAGTGGTGTAGGTCGGGAGGGCGGCATCCTTTGGCTTTTCTCCTCCCCAGCAGCTCTGAACTATGTTTATGGGTCGTTTAATGGGCTCTAATAATACAGCCACTGAGTTCCGCCCGCAGAAGCACCGAGTCCCTAGCTAAACCGACGCTGCCGGAGATTAGGTGGCAACAGGGCAGAGGGCGCGGCTGCCTAAGAGTGCATGTGCCACCGGGTGGCGCCCAGGCGGCGTGGGCCGCGGAGGTGGGCGGAAACCATGGCAACGATTGAGTTGTTTGCCGCGCAGTGCGTGATGACGGCCTCCGGAGCGCCCCTAGCGCCGGATTATGACGAAAGCGGCGGCGCGGGCTCTGCCGTCTCGCGTGACCGCGGGCGCAGCCTCCGGGCCTCGCAACAGCAGCAACGGCAGAGGCCGGCGGGCGAGGTCAAGATGGTGGCTCCGCGGGCGGGGGAGGCGGTGGAAAGAGGAGGAGCCAGCCGTTAGCCAGCCGGAAACACCGACGCCCAGAGACCTCCTGGGGAGCCGCTGCCGCCGCCGCTGCCTCGGCCACCGCCGCCTCCGCCGCCTGCTCCAGCTCGGCAGACGCGAGCGGGCGGCGGGGCGGGCGGTGAGAGAAACAGGAGAGGAGGGAGAGCGGGGGCGGAGTCGCCCGCCTTAGCTCCCGCCCCCAGCTGCGGTCCCGGGCCCTGCCCAGCGCGGCCCTGCCCGGCCCGGCCCGCCCAGCCCCGGTGTGGCAGCGGCTCATGGCAGCGGTGGGGCCCCCGCAGCAGCAGGTGCGGATGGCCCGTCAGCAGGTCTGGGCGGCGCTCGAAGTGGCGCTCCGGGTGCCCTGCCTCTACATCATCGACGCCATCTTCAACTCTTACTACGATTCCACCCAAAGCGGGCTCTGCATCTTGCTCCAGATCTTCCTCCGGCTCCTCGGTAAGGGGACGGGTAGCCTGAGTCGCGGGACGGCTCTGAGGGCCGAGATGTGCCCCAGGGAGCGGACAGGTGCTCGCAGGCCTTGTAGGTCCTGAATGTGCGTTTGTTCGTCCCCCGAAGGTGTGTCTTTGCGGGCTGGAAGGGGGAAGGAGATGATACTTGTCTGAGTTGACAGCGAGCAGTCCTTTCAGCGAGTTAGCCCCCTGTTCAGTGTGGCACCTGAGTGAGGGCAGGGAGACAGCGTGGATGTGTGAGCATGCGGCTTTTTGCCTGCTGTGTCTCTTGGGGAATGAGTACCGGCTTACTGCGTCCTTTGCGACAGCCTTGGAAAAACAACTACGCTTGACCCAGTATCGTCGTGTGTGACATTGGACTTGTGCCAAGGCGTGGGCCTCAGTTTCCCCCCTTTCCTACATGCGCAGTGTTCTTATGTTGCCACTTCTGCACCCATTTATCACAAGATCGTGAAGTGGTAAATGACATCCAAGCGAAGGAGACAGGGTTTCTAATGTCAGACCTTGAAACCATTACCAAAAATTCTCTGAAAGCGAAGGTACTTAAAACGAGTCCTAAAATTTTCCATGAATAGACGAGAAGGTATTGAAAATGGTTGTAAAAAAGTGATGAGACATTTGCGAGACTTCTGAAAATCATTCTTTGTTGCATATGGAGTGTTAAAAAGATATTTCATTCCTTCTCTCCATCTTCACTTACATCACCAGAGTGAGAAGCGTTTATGCATAACAGAATTTTTTTAAGTTATTGCAACTTGGCAGATTTTGTTGGTGAGGTAATTCTTATGATCAGTTTTAAGTGGCTAGTGCTCTTGAAGTGTTGCTGAGGGCAGGCTGATGGTGAGATCCTTACAAAGCCTTTCGGAATTACAACCCATCAGTTGCTTTGTTCCTACAGAAAAGGAGTGGCAATAAAGGCTTAATTTTGTTTTATCAATGATTAACGATATTTTATATTTGTCTGGTACTTTAATTTTGGAAAGCATTTTCACTGGTATTAATAAGCTAACCTTCAAACATCCCTCAGGTGGGTCTTGTTATTCTCACTTTATAAATGAGGAAACTGAGGGTCATAGAGGTTAAGTGTTTAGCTCTTGTTACACAGCGGGTTTGTGGTTGCCAGAACCTGGGCTTAAAAATCTTTTGACATCAAGTATGGTTTACTTTCCTTCTCAGTACAGCTGCAGTCCAGATACAGAATGGTGTAGTAATGATTGTACGTTAGATCTGGAAACTAAAAGATGTGTAAGTGATGTTCTTTAGCGCAAGCCTTCTCAGTAACCTGCCAGCTACTTAATTCCAGGCATTCCTACTTGCCACTGCAAAAGTATACTATCACTATTATTTGTGGCAAAAAATGGGCTGTGTTTGAGAGAATTCTGCATATTCATTTCAGAAATAGTATAGCCACTGCCTTAAAGTTTGTGTGGCATAACTGCAGATTCTCTGGAACCCCTTGGGGACCCGGTGCTTATGTGGCATAACTGCAGATTGTCTGAAAACCCCTTTGGGACCTGGTACTCTGTTGAGTTTCAGGACTATGCAGCTTTAAGAAAAAGGAGTATTTTCTTTCATTAAATCATTTGTAGTTTAAGAACATTGAACAAAGTAATTGGTATTTTCCTTGTACTCTCTATGCGTCTTATTTTTATGATTGTGGAAGTTTGTGTTTGACAATTTAAAGGAGGTGACTTTATGCGGGGTACTTTACTCTGTGCTTTGGCTTTCTTATTTTTACCTTTTTAAAGATGTGCAATGATGTAATCTTTCATAGAGTCTTAAGGACAATAAATGAGTTAAGATGTAAGCACTTAAAACACTACTTGGGATCATTTAAGTGTTAGCTATTAGTAAACTTGATAGCTTTAAAAAAATTTAATGCTTCAATTAATACCATACTTTGTTAGATATTTTGGTATTTTGAAGGCATCAGCAAAATGTTGGTGCTGTTTATTTGAAAATTTTAATCCCAGAATCTCTGGGTCAGACTTTATGAGAAATACAAAATATTTTCCAAATCTATCACCTGACTCTTCCTTATATTGTGCCATGTAATAATGCTATTTTTTCACATTTGTAAGAATGATGAGGATGGAAAAAAACTGGTTTTGGTGCTAAAAATTCACCTGACATAAAAACATGCCCTTAGGAGTTCAGTGCTACAATGAGCTATGATTTATGATTGCCCCATTGCACTCTGGCCTGGGTGACAGAGCAAGACCCTGTCTCAAAAATTAAGTAAAATAAAAAATGTATTATTGAAAGTGGCAGATTTGTGTGTAAAAGATGCAAATGAATAGTTGAAATTAATTGTTCTGCCTCATTAGTTTTTTTTATATTATAGTTTTACATAGACTTCTTTTTTTTTTTTTTTTTTGAGACAAAGTCTCACTCTCTTGCCTGGGCTTGAGTGCCGTGGGGCCAGCCTAGCTCACAGCAACCTCAAACTCCTGGGCTTAAGCGATCCTTCTGCCTCAGCCCCCTGAGTAGCTGGGACTGCCGACATGTGCCACCATACCCAGATAATTTTTTTCTATATATTTATTTTTAGTTGTCCAGCTAATTTCTTTCTATTTGTAGTAGAGATGGGTTCTCCCTCTTGCTCAGGCTGGTCTCGAACTCCTTAGCTCAAACAATCCTCTCGCCTGGGCCTCCCAGAGTGCTAGGATTACAGGTGTGAGCCACCTCACCTGGCTGTACACAGACTTCTTAGTGCTACTATGTATAAATCTTAATACTTATCCTCACCTCTTTCTTTAAATTTAACATATGAAAGTAGAAATCTATCTCTAAAAAGCATTACTAATTTTATATGTATTTCCCTCAACCTACAAAAAGGTGCTACAACTGTACCTTCATTTGGTCTCAAGCTATTAAGATAATTTGAATTTTCAACAGGTCAGAAAATAAAGCAACTCATTTTGGAGATCCAAATAAAATTCTACGACAAGATATAGAATATTTAAGAACATATAGCTGTTTCTTATGAGATGTTAAATGCTAAATGAAACTCAATCCAGAGCAGCAAAAAGCTGAATTAGCAAATTTAAATCCAAGACAGAAAATGCAAGCATAGTTTATTTATAGTATTACTCATATGGTGATAATTCATTGAGGTGGGAGAGTACTTTTCTAAACAAAAGAAAACTCAGAAAGTGCCATGGGAAGTCTGATAAATTTGAGTATATAAAAATGAAAACTTTTTATAGCAAAACTTTAAAAAATTATTTAAAATGACAAACAGAAAATATTTGCATCATATGTGATTAAAGTTCTAGTAAGAGTTTTACTCTGTTAAGAAGAAAAACTTACAGTCCCATAGGAAAATGGGCCTAGGAAAAGCAGTTCACAATAAACGAAATGCAGATTTTCGATAAGCAAAAGTACTTAGTTTCTTTATAAGTAAATAAACCAAATTTTACTTACCAGATTGTTGAAGAGTTCAAAGTTTGTTAAAAGGTACTTTGGCAAAGATATTTACCTTTTTGAAATAGGTAAATTTATACAATTTTGGTAGACTGTAACTTCTGTGTAAAACCATGTAGCACTATCAACTGACATTTACAGTATACCTTTTGACTCGCAATTCCAGTTCTAGGGATTTTGCCTAGAGATATAGCTGTAGAAAGACTCTGGGCAAGGACATTCATTATAGCATTGTTGGAAATAACAAAACAAACATAATCTAAATGGGTGTTCGCTGAGAATCTGCTCATTGTATTAGGTCTAGCCATACAATAAAGTTCTTGAAAAGAATGAGATAGTTATTTTGGTGCTGTAGAAAGATCTGAGAAAACCTATGAAGTGAAAAAACAAAGTGAAGCAGAAGTAATTGTAACTGGCATAGGAATAGACTGGGGTTTCTCAACAGTGGCACTATTGATATTCTGGACAGGATAATGCTTTGTTGGGAGGGGACTGCCTTGTGCATTGTAGGATTTTTAGCAGCATCCCTGTCCTCTACTGACTAGATGCCAGTAAGCACACACCCCCAACAACACATCCCTGTTGTGACAGCCAAAACTATCTCTAGATATTGCCAAATGTCCCCTGGGGGGCAAAATCCAATCCTGGTTGGGAACCACTGGGATAGACAAATAGATCAGTAGTACAGAGTACATAGCCCAGGCCAGGTGCAGTGGCTCACGCCTATAATTCTAGCACTCTGGGAGGCCAAGGTGGGCAGATGGCTCAAGGTTAGGAGTTTGAAACCAGCATAAGGAAGAGTGAGACCCTATCTCTACTAAAAATAGAAAGAAATTAATTGGCTAACTAAAAATATATTGAAAAAATTAGCCGGGCATGGTGGTGCATGCCTATAGTCCTATAGTCCCAGCTACTAAGGAGGCTGAGGCAGGAGGATTGCTTGAACCCAGGAGTTTGAGGTTGCTGTGAGCTAGGTTGAAGCCACGGCACTCTATCCCGGGCAACAGAGTGAGGCTCTGTCTCCCCCCCCCCCCAAAAAAAAAAGAATACATAGCCCAGAGACAGCCCACTAACATATATTACAGAAATGATGTGTTTCCGAGGTAGAATTGAAGTACATTGAGGTAAATACGGACTTTTCAATTCGTGATTATTTTAGTTGTTCATATGGATCTCTGCCTTATATTAGTATGTAAAAAAAAAAAAACACACACTCAATTCTAAGTGAATTAATACCTAAATGTGAAATGCAGAACTTATATTTTTAGAAGAAAACATAGAATATCTTTTTTTAGCCTTAGAGTAAGGGGGAAAGTCTTTGACAATGTGTAAAGATTGAGAAATTGAATGAAATTAAAATTAAAAACCTCTGTTAATCAAAAAGCAGCTTTTAATCAGAAAAGTGAAAAGGAAAGCTGTCTACCTGGAGAAGATATTTGCATTATGTATAACTGCCAAATAATTCATATTCAGAATATTTTCTAACTATCCATAGTTCAGTAAGGAAAAAAGACAACTCCATAAGTGAATAGGCAAAAGATAAACTGGCCATTCACCGAGGAAACCTGAATGGTCAATGAAAATAGAAAGATTATCTCTTCCATAAGTAATCAGAAATGCAAATTTTAAATAAAAGGCTAAAAAATGCTGTTATATAGTGAGATCCCCTTTGGGCAAAAAGCAAAAAAAAAAAAAAAGGGTGTGTGTATTTATGTATGAATGTATTGTGTTTGATAATTTGTTAGGGTATATAAGGAACTTAAAATGGTTCTACCTATTTGATGCCAGTAAGGTGGTGTAATAATATAGGAAAAAAAAAACAAAGCTTTTTTTCCTATTGTCACACAGTCAACTCAGAATGTTTGCTTCATCTCTAGTCACCAAAATGTGTGGAGATTTCTCTCCACTACCAACCAGTTCTGCAGCAGATTCTCCAGTAGACACTACCTGGGTGTTCTCTAATTCAATTAAATTCTTTCACTGTCTACTTGGAGATAGCCTCAGATCCTACAGGTTGAGGGGCTGCATGTGTTCCAAGACCCCCCAGTGGATACCTGAGACTGAGGATAGTACCAAATCTTGTATATACTATGTTTTTTCCTATACATGATATCTACGATAAAGTTTAATTTACAAATTAATTTATAAAGTAAAGGTTGCTTGAACACAAGTACTTTGATACCAATATAGTCGATATGATGACACAGCCAGCCATTAAGTGACAAACAACTGGGGAGTGTATACAGAATGGATATGCTAGACAAAAGGGCAATTTACACCTGGACTAAGATGGAGCAGGACAGTACGTAATTTCATCATGCTACTCAGAACAGCATGCAACTTACAAATAGTTTATTTCTGCAATTTTCCATTCGATATTTTCGGACCTCAGTTGACCGCGGCTAGTGAAATCACAGAAAGCAAAACCTTGGAAAAGTGAAACCTTGGATAAGGGAGGACTGTGTACTTAATATTTACACATTTATTATAAAGACATACAAGGGACACAGATGCACATCCAGATGGAAGAGATTCATGGGGCAGGTAAAGAAGGAAAGGGCACAGAGCTTCAGTCAGTGTTCAGTATCTGGAAGCCTTCAGAAGGAACTCAGTCCTTTTGGGTTTTTAGGGAATCTTCATTAAGTAGGCATGATTGATTAGAATCATTGGCCATTTATCAACTCAACCTTCAGCCCCTCTCCTCTCCTCAGAGATGTGTGGAGGGGTGGGAATGAAAGTTACAACACTCTAATCACAGGGTTGGTTCCTGATGCTATCTAAGGGCCCCTAGCCACCAATCATCTGTTATTGTAGAAGACATTCTTGTCACTCAAATTCCAAGGATTTTAGGAGCTATGTCAGGAAATAGGAACAAAGATGAAATACATATTTTTACCATATCACAAATGGGGAAGACAGAGTAGAAAAACTTGCTTAACCTTCATTTCATACCTCTCTATAGGGTTTGACTTTTTAATGCGTGTTCACATATTTTTAATAAAAACACTTGTTATAATTCTAGTTTAAAAGCAAAACTTTAGTTTTGTCTTATTAATAAAATACTTATAATACCAATTATCTAAAACGAGAGTTTGATAGAAAATTTTCTTTGTGCTATAGTTTATCAAGTATACCAACAGACTAATATTTTAAGATAATTTATTTACTTTGTCCTAAATTTCATTGCTTAGAGCTTCCTTGGGAGTAAGATAGTAATAATATTTATTTCTGTGCTTCTTTATATTTATTCTATCAAGTGTTGAAATGTTTCTCCACAACTTTAGACTTTAAGGGTATGAGTGGACTTTACACGTAAAAGAGTTAAACACTTTGTTGTGTAATATGATTGATGGGTTTTTTTTTTTTTTCCTCATTTGTTTGTTTTTGGTAATACAAATTGAAAAGGCCCTGGTATTTCATGAGTTTATTAGTTCATATATAGTTTCAAAGCTCCTGATTTGGATACCTGCCTCTTTTCCTATCTGGAGAACTTTGGTGAAACTCTAATCACTGGAGAATTGGACTGAGATCCCTGAATTGTGATTTCAGTTAAATTCTGTTCTCTGGTGTCTCAAGGTGTTATTTTTTATAAAGCAGCCTTTATATAGAGACTTGATTACTTATGCAAGTCACCCATAATTCGTAAGGAGAAACTATCCCTGGACTTTAATTTCCTTATGTCTACAGAGTAATTATCATGAAATTCTGAGTTTAATGTCTAATGTTGTGAAAATACAATGAAAATTTGTATTATTAACAATACTCCTTAAAGGTCATGAGAAGGAATGTTAGAGACTTATTAATTGGGAAGTTGAATTTTTTCCCCTGTAAAATGAGGGCCAATTCTTCCCACATTCCATAGACAGGAACGTGGTATAAAAGAAAAATTTATGAACCCCCTGTTGCTACAGACTTTGGGTAGGAATTAAAACACATGTATGTTATTCTTGAAATGTTTCCTCATTATTACACCTTGGGGGTGTGATTTTAATCAGGAAAGAGTAGTATCAGATTGTTACTTGCTAGGACACACCCAGACTTTGAGGTTGTAGTCTCACTTCATTATTTGTCGGTCATATGCCTTCACCTTTTTTCCTTTGGTACATTTGCATAAAGCAAAATGGCACATTTTTTGCAGAAGTATTTCTAAAACCCAGATCATTTCTTCATTTGTGTGTAAAAATAAGCTTCAGGAAAAAAAGTTATTAGAATAAAAAGGACTGGTTATAAAATTATTACAAAGGTCATGAATAGTCACAGTGAGGATTAATTTACCACTTTGTGAGTACCAAGTTGACAAAAATAATTTACAGTTCCTGTTTTCTCCCTTTTAAATGATGTAAAATAGAACTTAAGTTATTTTGGTTTGGTTTTGGCCCAATTTAGAAGATTAGTTTTGTCTCAGGAAAAATACTTCTGTTTTTCCACAAAGAGAAAGTTAAGATTACATATGGCATATATAGTAGGCTGAGTTAATTCCACTTCCTTGTTACCTTCCATGGAAAAAGTTTCTAATCCTCAAAAAAATCTATTTTCTATTGAAAGAGCCTGTTCCCAGCTTGCAGATGATTAGTAGCCCACTTGATTTAGGGAATCAGGTAATTCTTATTCAGAGGTAGAGATCTCTTCCAGTTGATTGTGTCCTTTTGTTCTCCTTTTCACAAATGACCTGACACTTTGGCACAGTATAAATTTTAAGTCCTGAGCAAAGTCATCACTTAAAGAAACTAGACCTTGTTTTTCTTTTAACAGATTGTAAAATGCTTACACTGTAATATGCAGCACTTTATTGATTACCTGCTGAAATATTGGTGGATAGATGGTTGTTTAATTCAGAGTTTGTCACATTTGTGCTATGGTTTCTTAGCTTTGTCTCACTTTTTCATTACGTTTCATTTTTCAAGCGGGCTGTATTTTGTGGTTGCTTTTAAAAACATAATCCAGATGTGACAAACATTTCCCCAATGAATACTAATTGATCTTTGTGTAAAATATTGTGGGCTACATAGATGTACAAAGTAGGATCCTTGCTTTCTGTCATGGGCACATTGTATAATAGGGTAGGTGATACCCACTCATATAACTACAAACTACAATATCAGGTAGTATGTAAGTGTTAGGTGTTTCTGTAAGTTCCGTAGGTATGCTGAAGGAACAGTCACTATCTAAACAAATAGGTTTTAGGATAGGTAGGATTTTTGAACATTCAGGGATTTGAGAAATTGGTGGGACCATCATTCCAAGCAAAAAGAGGAATGTAAACACCATTGTACCTATGGTTGAGAAAAGGATGTGTTTGGGAAATGCAGTCTGGAGCATTGGGGGATATGTGTGTGTGTGAGGAGAAGTATTATTCTAAAGCAAATTGGATCATTCCATGCCAGGACAAAGGAATGTAGATTTGTTGATAGTAATCAGAGCCACTGAAGTATTTTGAGCAGAGGAATGAAGAAAGGCAATTTGGTGATGGCTTGTAAATGGATTTGGACAAGATGAATTTTTAGAGACAGATGAATTGGTTTGTGTCGCTGAGAAGAGAGAGAGAAAAGTGTTAGTAGAATCTGGCGACTAATTGGCAAAGTTGGAGGATGTGGGGTTGGTAGTAACATTAAGAGAATAATAATACTTTTAACTGATGTTGCAAATCATAAGGAAAAGTGGGTTCTGGTTTAAGACGAGTTAGATTTCAGAACTTTTGATGTTTGTAGTTCTAATATAGGAGTGGAACTAGGTGAATTATGTGGATGTCATGCCTATAATTGAAACCTCAAATGTTTATAATTTTGCACATATTCATATTTCCTAATTAAAGGAAGAATATCATAACTAGTGGGAAAACTCTTAAAATATTTCATTCTAATAACTTTTTCTTTGTTTTTTTTTGTTTTAGGTATATTTGTATCCAGTATTGTTCTGATCTTGTCACAGCGATCTCTTTTCAAGTTTTACATGTACAGCTCAGCATTTCTGTTAGCTGCAACTTCAGTGTTGGTGAATTATTATGCTGCTTTGCACATTGACTTCTATGGTGCCTACAACACATCAGCTTTTGGAATTGAGCTGCTTCCTCGAAAAGGTCCCTCGCTATGGATGGCACTCATTGTTCTACAGCTTACACTTGGAATTGGATACATTACACTACTCCAGATTCATTCCATCTATTCACAATTAATTATTTTGGATCTCTTGGTTCCTATAATAGGCTTAATCACAGAGCTACCATTACATATCAGAGAGACTTTAGTTTTTACTTCTTCTTTGATTCTCATATTAAATACAGTGCTTGTTTTGGCAGTGAAACTTAAGTGGTTTTATTATTCCACAAGGTATGTTTATCTTTTAGTGAGGCACATGTATCGAATTTATGGATTACAGTTATTGATGGAGGACACATGGAAGAGAATTCGTTTCCCAGATATACTGCGGGTCTTTTGGCTAACAAGAATTACAGCTCAGGCTACAGTGTTAATGTACATTTTAAGGGTGGCAAATGAAACTGATTCCTTCTTTATTTCTTGGGATGATTTCTGGGACCTCATTTGCAGTCTTATAATTAGTGGATGTGATTCTACACTAACTGTACTGGGCATGAGTGCTGTAATTTCCTCAATAGCCCATTATTTGGGGCTTGGAATATTGGCCTTTATTGGATCAACTGAAGAAGATGACAGGCGGCTTGGCTTTGTTGCACCTGTTTTATTTTTTATTTTGGCTCTTCAGACTGGTTTAAGTGGGCTAAGACCAGAAGAGAGACTTATTCGCTTAAGTAGAAACATGTGCCTTTTATTAACTGCAGTCCTGCATTTCATCCATGGAATGACAGACCCTGTATTAATGTCTCTCAGTGCCTCTCATGTGTCATCTTTTCGTAGACATTTTCCTGTGCTTTTTGTTTCTGCTTGCCTGTTTATTCTTCCTGTTTTACTCAGTTATGTTCTTTGGCATCACTATGCACTAAATACATGGTTGTTTGCAGTTACAGCCTTTTGTGTGGAACTCTGCTTAAAAGTAATTGTTTCTCTCACTGTTTATACATTATTCATGATTGATGGCTACTATAATGTCCTCTGGGAAAAGCTTGATGATTATGTCTACTATGTTCGTTCAACAGGCAATATTATTGAATTTATATTTGGAGTAGTAATGTTTGGAAATGGGGCTTATACTATGATGTTTGAGTCAGGAAGTAAAATTCGGGCTTGTATGATGTGTCTACATGCGTATTTTAACATCTACTTACAAGCAAAAAATGGCTGGAAAACATTCATGAACCGTAGGACTGCTGTTAAAAAAATTAATTCTCTTCCTGAAATAAAAGGGAGCCGCTTACAAGAAATAGATGACGTATGTGCAATCTGCTATCATGAGTTTACAACATCTGCTCGTATTACACCATGTAATCATTATTTCCATGCACTTTGCCTTCGGAAATGGCTGTACATTCAAGATACTTGTCCAATGTGCCATCAAAAAGTGTACATCGAAGATGTCAAAGATAATTCAAATATATCTAACAACAATGGATTTATTGCACCACCCAATGAACATCCAGAGGAACCTATAAGAGAAGCTGCTGCTGAATCTGACAGGGAGTTGAACGACGACGACAGTACAGATTGTGATGATGACGTTGAAAGAGAAAGAAATGGAGTGATTCAGCACACAGGCCCAGCAGCTGAAGAACTTATTAATGATGATACTGACTGATTAAAATAGCATTTATTAATCATTGAGGTATTTGTTTAAAATTCAGTTCATCCAAAATGGAGTAATATGCTTCACCTTCAGTGTGTAACCAAGCACAAAAACAGTATCAATGTTGAATCTGTGAATGGTTTACTGTGATGTGCTACTGTAAATATACCTCTTTCATTACTTCTGGTCTCTTTGGTGACCTATTTAAATTTGTGTACATTATTGTACATAGAATAAAATGTTTTCACGTTTCTATGACAAAATTTGAACAAATAGCTTTTTAATAGATGTAATAATCATACGGTGCGTCAACTGTGCCAAAGATTCCTCAATGAAATTATATCATGTATCTAACTCTGGACCCTAGTTTTTCTTTAAAATGGGTGTGAGAATGAAAATGAAAATCAGGAAACCACATTAAAGTCAAGGAAATTAAATAATTTGGACTAGAGAATAAAGGCTATGCATACAATATTTTAAAACAAAGGAAAAAATTAGACAGCCAGAGCAATTGAGAAATGGTTTTGAAATTGGAGTAGCTATGTAGTTGAGCTGGGTTCAAAAGTCATGATTCAGACTGTGAGAGTTAAGAAATAAACTTACATCAGCTAAACTTTGATATAAACCAGAATGTGCTACATGTTTAATTTTTATGTAAAATCAATATATTTGTGAGCCATTCTGTTTGCAGTGTTGTCATAAAATTGTCCTTTCAGGTTTTTGAAGAGATTACAAAATGAAAATAGTTGGGGTTTTTTATTGTTTTAAACTAAGGCATTAAATAATATTTTAAAAAATCCTGATCTGATTTTATGGAAAAATGAGAATGGTGTGTAGTGATACATATTACCTCTTTAGACAACTTCCAGAGAATTTCTTTATTGAAGCTATCAGTAAGTTTTACCATGAAATTTTACATACATGATGGAAAATGGAAGACGTACTGATTACATACCAGGAAAAAATACTTTAATAGTGTTGTTATATAGCGTATTGGCTAATTCCAGTGGATCCTCATCTCTTACTGCTGACATTATCTCCAGTATTTGACTGAAACAAAACAAAACCAAAAAGGATGGTTAAATTTCCAAGTATGTATTCTGTTTTAAGAGTATATAATAATCATCTTTTTCCATATAAAGGAAGATACTGTATTAGCATCTTTAATACACTAAGTAAAGCTTAACAGTTCTATTAATACACAAATTAACTTATTACCAGTAGTAAGAGACAGATTTCTGGGGCTGCCTTGCATAACTAGAGAAAAGAACACCAGGTTTGAGTAAATTATTAAACCAGCTGTCTATTATGTGCACCACAACGATCAAATTAACACAGTGGAAATGAAGAGTCCTTTTAAATTCTGGATCATAATGCATTCATTAGTGGGTCATGATGAGCATTTAAAAAATTAAAAGTACATTATACACAGGGTAAGTACTGTTACATTTTTGGTTTGGTTTTGTTTATGAATGAATATGTGCACTGAATCACAATGTAAGGGGATACAGCCAAAGTTGGAAAGTCACTGCTTAGTGAACTAGTCCTTTAGAGACAGCAAATGAAGTCATTTACTTGAAATAATGTGTGGTTACTAGCAGGGAGGGCTTTCCATTCCTGTACTTTTTCCCCTGCAAGAGAGAATAGCACAGGTGTCCATCTTTCTATTTCTGTGCCTAGAATGATAATTATCAGTGATGTTTCCTAGCAGTATTATAGATGAAATACTTTTATACATGGATTAGAAAGTCATAAAGTCAAAATCAAATATTTAAATATTCTTTCCCTAACTTTTTGTTCCCTTAATGTTTTTCTTAAATGTGAACACCTAAAGGAATCAAGGGTAGAAATTTAATGGGAATTTTTTTCATTGTTCTGTAATAGTGACACTATAGCCTTGCTTGATATATGCACTAAACAGATTAAATTTTTATCTGACAGTCAAAATATGCTAAAAGCAAACCTATTAACGTTTAAATTGACAGAATCCAATTTTCTCATTCAACTACAGAATTTCTCTCTGAAGTACTAAGAATTAGAACTCTTAAGTAATGCTGCTGATGATACAAAGTTTTGAAGTTTGCAACAGCTTTGCCAGGATTATATTGTATAGCAAAATCACTTTATTCAAATTGAGAAACTGTTTTAAGAGGAGTCCATTGGAGCTTAGAACATTCCATTTAATAAGTTTGATAATAGAAAACAAAGATAATGGTAATCTTTGAACAACTCTTTTGCATCCATGCTGTTTTCATATATCTTCGTGGCCTAAAGCTGTAGTCATTCCATAAAGAATACGTAGTGTCCCTGAGAATTTAGTGCCTTTTGTTTGATATAGCACTTTTACACTAGGCACAAGTTTTTAAAATCTTGTAAGAGCTGTATGATTCCTACCACTGTCTCCTTTCCAGTCCTTCCCCACGCTGATACCAATTATAGCTTTAAAAAAAATAATTATCACTCTCCTGCTTAAAATCCTTTAGGTCTTGATAAAATCTAAACTAAAGTTGGCATCCAAGAACCCTCACAATCTGTCCTGTCTTCTGAGGCTTTTCTTCCACTTATCCCCTGCATCCTACTTTCAGCCACACTAAACTCATTGTTCCCAGGATCAGCCAAGCCCTTTTGCAGTCTGCCTTTGCTCAAGGTGTTTTGTCTTTGTTTGGCCTAACTCCCAATCAGGCTTAGTCAATAGCTGAAATGTCACCTTAATAAAGCTCTCTCCTAGTTTCCTGTTTCCTCTTAAGGCATACATTTGATGTGTCCTATGATCCCTGCCATATATTTTTACCTCTATAACAACAGCACTACCATCTTGGACTGCATCTGCTTGTTTGCTCCAGAGAGCAGAGTCTGACTCACTGAATGCCTTATCCAAAGTGCCTGACACAGTGTACCTGTTCAGCTGGTGGATGGATAAGGGGAGGGACTGTCTTGATTCTTTTGTGTAGCCTTAGTAACTTCCTAACATATGGCAACAGCTCCAAAATGTCTGTTTCAAAGAATTTATATCTAAAAGAAGACCTCTATAAAAAATAATTATAAGGTAAAAGGTAACAAAATGGAGGTTGGTAAAATGACTTTGTAAATAGGAATTTGCTAATTCATAATTGATAGATTAAAGATAGGTATATTTTTGAAATGTTAAAATTTTTCAGCTTACAAATGGTGATTTCTCCTGAGCTCTGCCTACTTACCTAATTGAAAAACAGATATTCATGATTGCAGCTCATATCCGAGCCTTCACTGTTCACAGGCTATGTGCAAAAACACCTTGAAATTTTATAGCTAAAGTCAACAGCTATTCTTTTATATAAGATTAAGGCAGTATAGAAAAGTGACTTGGATGTGCTTTAAGCAACAAAATATTTCCTCTAAATTGGCTGCTGGCAAAATACCAGTTTGTTATTTCTAGTGTCATCTTAGATCTCCAAAGACTTAGAAATACTGTCTCCTGACTGAATTTGCAAGTACCTACATTTCATAAAAATTACAAGTGATTTTTTTTACTAATCAGAACTTGAATATATTCCTCACCCTATAGGCTTTAAAACATTCAGCTTTAAAGTCTTTGCTAGCACAAGCATGTTAATGGAAAAGAACCTTTCAAATATATTTTTATAGAACAATAATTTTTGCCTGCTGAATTTTAGGTTTCACTTAACTAATACTATTTACCTATTAGAAATGACTAATAGGCCGGGCGCGGTGGCTCACGCCTGTAATCCTAGCACTCTGGGAGGCCGAGGCGGGCGGATTGCTCGAGGTCAGGAGTTTGAAACCAGCCTGAGCAAGAGTGAGACCCCGTCTCTACTATAAATAGAAACAAATTAATTGGCCAGCTAATGTATATAGAAAAAATCAGCCGGGCATCGTGGTGCATGCCTGTAGTCCCAGCTACTCGGGAGGCTGAGGCAGGAGGATCACTTGAGCCCAGGAGTTTGAGGTTGCTGTGAGCTAGGCTGATGCCACGGCACTCACTCTAGAGCAACAGAGTGAGACTCTCTCACAAAAAAAAAAAAAAAAAAAAGAAATGACTAATAAAGATGGTGCATGGAAGGAATTATTACAGTCTAAAAGTAACAGTCCAGTATTAATTTTTATGAATGTTATAAGCATATCCAATTGTCTGAACTGGTAAATCATACTAGATTGATATAGTCTAAGTTTAAATTATCTGTGCAAACAAAAGAAACTGGATTATGTGCCCATTAAAATGATTTAACCAGTTTTTCCTGTTTTGTTATAATATTCCTTATAGCTATTTGACAGTTAGATGGCTAACAGCCCCTCTTTTCACTTGTGCTATAGATTATAATTAAAAAAAAAAAGATCCTGAGTTACTATTCACTTAGGAAACAAAATGCTCTGAAGTTCTGCCCCCCCCTTTTTTTTTCCAGGTTGGAAAAAGGAAATCCTATCACTTGTTCTTTTGTTCCAAGGCTTAAACAAATGTGTTGTTTTTTTGGATAAATTCAGGTTGTCAAATCATTTAACATGCAGATATTATTAACAAAAAGGTATGCTAAAGCTTCTTGTTATAGAATAGTAACAGGGAAGTTGCATGAGAACAGAACCTAAACCAGGTAAGGTGATTATACAGATAGCTTTCAGATCTTTTCCACTATCCTACAATAGTGGAATGACAGATGACCACAATCACATTTATTTCTCACTGCTGAAATACATCACTTTGAGTCAAGAGGATATGAAGAGAAGAGCTGAGATAGAGCAATTCAGATGCAAATTCCTCCAGGTCACTTCATTAAAATGGTGGTCTCTGAACTCAAGTTCATTTGGATTTCATAATATGATAATTCTATCATTTGAGTTCATTTTTTAAGTGGCATTTGGTGGTTAACTTTAGTGATTTTGAAAACAGAGCAAAAATACTTACATTATATGGCAGGGCTCATTTCTATCTTTTAAACAGTGGCCATTTTCCCACTTCTTTTTGGTAGGAAATGAAGTTTTTATATATTTTGATCCAGCATGTGTACTTTTGACTCCACACCAAGGCGCATCTGGAGTTACGCAAAAGAAAGAAAAGTGTCTTTTAAGGCAGTGGTCCCCACCCTTTTTGGCACTAGGGACCAGTTTCATGGAAGACAACTTTTCCATAGACTATGTGTTATGTATAGAAAAACAAGTGAGAGGTAATGGAAATCAGAAAAACAGAAAGGAGAAAGCACTTAATAGAAAAACAATAAGGAGTAAATGGCTGCAGAAAAATAAAGAGGGAAGAGGTAATTAGGCTATGGAACACTGACCACCAGTCAGAGAATGGAAAAAATACCATAAACAGTTTATAGTACTTTCCCCACCATACATGTATTAGAAAGAATGACTGAAATATAACCTTTAAGTCATGTATATATCCTGAAAGAATTCAGTCACCAAAACAGTGACATACAGTCATGAATAGTTATAACTAACCTTTACTAAATCTGACATATAAAAGGAAAAACACAGAAGTAGACAGTGTCTTCTCCACTCACAGAGACAGACCCATTTCCCCTTGGGAAATGCGCTTTCACTTTGCACCCTCAAACTTTACTTACAATAAATTCTTCATGCATACTTGCTAAGCATTTGTCATCTCCATCACACCGACCAAGGCTTGCAATTCCTCCAAGCCAGGAGCCCAAGAACTGGGGAAACACTTCAAAGTCCAGCTGTGGACCAAACCATGATACGGTAGTGGGGATGTGGGGTGTCGTGGGAGGGGGTGTGGGGTGTGGAGCTCAGGCAGTGATGTGCAGCTTGTTTCCTAACAGGCTATGGACTACTACTGGGCTGCACCCCGGGCGGTGGGACACAGTGACTTAAGGGGTTTACCTTTTAAAATTGATTTTTATGAACATTATCAAACTAATATATAATCTCTAAGTTATAAGCAATGATTCAGCTCCCCAAATGGCAAATTATATGCAACAGAAAATATTCTAAGAAAAGCACAAAATAAAATCTTGAATTGTATCTTAAATGTTTAAGACTTTTATCTCTTTTTTTCTGTTAACATTATTGTTGGTGTATAGCATGCTTTAAAAAAAAAGACCTAAACTTGAAATAAAATGGTAACATGATAACATTTAAGTTAAACAAATGTCTATATAGCCTCTACTGAATGTGAAGCAGTGTTTTTGAATACTTACTGTTTTTTAAATAAAGAATTTTGATAGCTTATGCATTTTATAAGCATTGCACTTTTAATAAATCATTTCATTTTCATGACAGCTCAAGGAAATAAACATTTCTCCAGAATGGCTGTCTTGACTTTCCTAAAGTCCATTTTGCATAAGGACTTGAGTTAACCTAAACCCTTGAGTTACAGGATTTAGATAAAAGTTTTAGCTTTTATCCTTGTTTTATTTATTTATTTTTTACTTAGAGAAGGGGTCTTGCTGTGTTGCCTAGGATGGACTTGAGCTCCTGGGCTTAACTGATTGATCCTCCGGCCTCAGCCTCCCAAGTAGCGGGACTACTTGGGTAGCATGTGCTACCATGCCTAGCTCTTTGTTTTAAGAGGCAACAGGTTCTAAAATTCTTCTACTAAACCAATTTAAGTTTCTGCACTTTAAAAAGTGCTATGCAATTAAGCCATTATAAAGACATTGTGCAAAACAAAAACTCTGAATAGACTTTGAAACCCTGAGGTTTCTTAGAACCCTGAGTTCTTAGTGAAGACTCCTTATTTAAATATTCATAACCACAACCTCCTTAGTTATCACATATTCTGACTTCCCCCTTTTTAAGTGCTTAGACTTAGCCAAACTTATACAACTGAAGAAAGAATCATCTGCATATTTTTCCATCAATTGATAACAACCTCCAAGGGTCTTCTGAAAAGTATGCTGACTGAGGTTGAGAATGCTGTTTTATAGAAAATATTTGTTCATTTCAGTAAATTTGATGTCAAATTTCTTTCTCTAGTTTTTTTTTTTTTGGTTAAGGTTTAATAGGAAACTTAAAGTTCTGAAAACAAACTTACCTGTCTCAATCATTAATTTTTCACTGGGTATTGACTTCAAAACTTCCAAATTATCTTCAGTTTTCAGGGAGCTTAAAAAAAAGTATATATATTTATTTTAAAAGGTAACATTTAATGAATAGCTTTTCATATCACAATTTTTATCTACAACGTTACAAAACCAACTCCAAACCCCATAACAAATTGTTTTCAGTATACTTTAGAAAGTATTAATATTTGCACACTCCCATCCTTCATAGAATCCAGAGTAAGATATGTTTTAAACAGATCTGCCTTCAGGGGCTATCATTTTTTATGCTTACCAGTTGGCTCTCAATAGCTTTATGTATTATTCTAAGTAAAATTTAACTGTTTAAAAGAATTAATTACTTTGCTTCTTTGAGTAATTTGTGTAACTTAAGAGGTGTTCATAAGGCTGTTAATTTTCATTTTCTTAACTTTCCATGTTCAGCCCCTGAGACAGACTGGATTACTGCTCCTAATTCTTCACTCTCCTCCAATAGAATTATCTGTGTGCCCTTGCCATGGTTTCTTATTAGGAAGGATGAACTTTACTTGGATCTGGCCTTGGCCTCAAGACTTGGTCTGGCCAATGGGATAACATGGCCATAGGCTTGAAAGGTACTTTAGTGGTCTGGATGGCACCCTGGTGATCTTAGAGTAGCAAGCAGGAGCAGTTAAATGGCCTGTGTTTAAATGCTAAGTGACCTAAAAGCTATGTACCTGCAGAGAAAGACACAGCAGAAAAGAAAACCAATTCACCTAAGAAAGTTGGAAGAATTAGGTACAGTACCTAGAAAGCTAGTGGGATAAGACATAGGACTGAAACAGGGATTGTCTGAAAATCTTGTAAAGAATGCAGGGTTCCCAAGTTATGTACCCATGGCTTGGTACAGAGAGAGGAGTGTAGGGTCTTAAGAGAACCCCACGTTACAGAGACTGGGCTGGGGAATAAGTGCAGAGGTGCAATGGGGAACGGTGTGGGACTGAAGCTGGAGACTGGGACAGCCCAGTGAACAGTGAGACCCTCTAAGCCACCCTGCTCCAGAACGCTGTCAAGTACTTTTTATAAATTCCTCACTCCACTTTTCCAGCAGGGATCAGAGGATGCCTTTCAGGAGCAATTGAACCAATCCAGAAAAAGATCTCGACAAAATGACATTTGGGAATCCCTAGTGAAAATGTCACTTAGCCATCTGAGCCTGCCAGTTGCTGGACTGCCTCCCACAGCTTCCAAAAGGCTTTGAAAAACATAGACGGTGAAGGACTGCCTGACATTTGAAGAAAGTGTCCATCATGACAGAGACCAAAATAAAGAGGAAAAAAGACTGAGGAAATAAAAGCAGTAAGGCAAGCAGAAAATAATTCTAAACTATAATTTACATCTTTAGAGAGATGAGAAGACACTGCATCTGTCAAAGAATATTGTGGAATAAATAAGATAGCTTTCAGAAGATTGGAAAAAAAAAGCTGAAGTCAGTTTCATTTAAAACGTTGAAAAATACAGCACTTTTCTGGAAGGAGGAAAAAATAGAGATAGGGAAAGCAGAATTAAAACATAAGAATACCAGAGTAATCAGTGTGGAAGGGCCAGTAAGAGAGTAGTAGAATGAATGACAAAAAAAAAAAAAATCAAAACACATCTTTGTGAAGTTTTACAAAACCAGAGATAACTAAAACCTTCCACAGGAAAAAAAAAAAAAAAAAAAGTAGGCCAGAGGGAAAAGATTGGGAGTCAGAATAGCAATCAACATCTTATCGACGCCGAAACCTATTAATAGGACAGTGTAAATCTCAGTGAAAGTGATTTATTTATTATTATTATTGTTATTGTTTTCTGTAGAGACAGGGGTCTTGCTATGTTGCCCAGGCTGGAGTGCAGTGGTTATTACGAGAAGTGATCATAGCACACGGTATCCTTGAACTCCTGGGCTCAATTGATCCTCCAGTATCAGCCTCCTGAGTGGCTGAAACTATATGCATGCCCAGAAAATGATCTCTAGTCTAGAATTATTTTATGCTGAGAAAAATGATCAACCAAAAGGGGGTCTCCTCTGCCCACTTTTATTAACTATGCAGGCAAACTTTTAAGAGGAAGAGTAGAATTAATTCATTTTCAAACATGCAAAATTTCAAAAAATTTAGTTCCCATGAAAACTTTCTCAGGAGGATATTAGAGAATGTGTTCCACCAAAACAAACAAAAAATACATAGGATCTAAAAATACAAGTTCTAGCACATAAGAGACACTAGTCCAACTGAAACAGAAAGATGGAAGGGTCTAGAACTAATGAAACAGATTATATAGATAGGTTTGCGCATGTGGAAAACAGATAAAGGCATTTCATAGAGTTGTGGAAATTGAGAGAGGGCTTTGAGTTTTGAAGAAGCCCAAATAAATAAGAATATGAAGTAAATTACTCCAGGAAAACAAAAAGTAATACAAGAAAAGAATTGCAAGCATGGTATATCACACAGCTCAGCAGTCAACAATATTTATAGAGACATAATGAAAATACTGATTATGCTTATAACCAAAAATTCTGAAACAACTACATTGAGGGGAATATGGAAGGAATAATGAAGGTGGGGAATGATGAGAACAGACAAGGGGATGAATCAAGAGATAACAGTATATGTGTATTACTTAGAATATGACTATAAATAGCAAAGTGATTGCCTCTGGAAAAGTTGACTTAGGGTAGGGGCTTGCTGGGGGGGACTCTGATATTTATTTATAAGTCTTTCAGTACTACTTGAATTTTTAATCCCTATGCATGTATTCTTTCTGACATTAATTTATAAATTAATTAAATCATTAATTTAAATATGAAAGAAGCATCTAGGACATTTAAACTCTGAACTCTATAGCAAGTAAGTAATTCCATGATTCTGTTTCCCTAAGATTTTAGTCAAAAATAATGTAATCAGAAAACTAATAATCTTAAGGGATTGAAACACTAAAGAGGGAAAGTAAGTCTTATACTATTTTGCAATTTATTTAATGAGCTACAATGACATCCTGTGAAAAGACACTGGTGGAAATTCTTATATATAGTTGACAGAACAAGCCCAGGACCCAGCTATGCCAGCTGACTATACAGAGTGTATTAGGTTTAGTGTGCTATTACAGCAGAAAGGTCACCGAGTGAGGAGCCAGAGGACACAGGTTCTCAGACTTGGAGAAACTCTATACCTGTTTCTTAACTTCTTTGAGCTTTGATTTCTTGGTTTATTGTTATAGAATAAACTCTCCCACGGTCAGACATGACATGTGTATATGTATTTATAATGCTGTGAACACATGTTTTAAAGGGATCAAATGACCTGAAAATGAATTGGATTGCTAGAGAAAGCTAGCTGCTGATCTCAACACAAAATTGTTTTCCATTATTAGAACAGGGTAATAATAGTCATACTTTCAAAGTTTAACTTGTAATAGTAATGTACTGTTTAATTTCTTAGGTAAATAATTACTGTAATTCCCAGGCAAATATCAATGCAAAACACACACAAACTTTAATAAAAATAAAATTTTGTCAGCAATTCACTGTAAAACAATTTAAGAAATCTCCTTAAATAAAAGTTAAAAATAAAAACAAAAACAAACAAGAACGTACCAACCATTAAACCCTATATAAAGATCCAAGTCAATCAAAGCAGCTGCTGCTTCCTTGGTACCATCAAATGAATGCACCTAGGGACATACAGGTATAATTTTTTTATTATAATAATTACTCTTTAAAAACTAAATAGCATTAATAAGACTTTCTAAGCAGAAATATACATGCATGTAAGGGTTTCTGGACCACAGAGTTTCAAATGTGGTGGCCTTTACAAATTTTATTTTCAAATCAGATTTCACCTGTTTATAATCTGTCATCTCCAATGATATGAGGCATGGAGTTAGCTGCCCAGAATTTCCCCCTTTACATTTTGATGTCTCTGTACCAATATTATTGCAGGACCTCCAGGAAGGGGGACAGGAGTAGGGAGCCATATTCTTAGGCAAAAGCATGAGGAAAGGTTAGAAATGTTATAACACCATTTAAAATATATTTTCAAATATCCTTGAATTTTTCTGTTAAAGGATACCCTTTTCTAGAAGAGAAATAACTTTTAAGAGGCAAGTTTTAAGAAGCTCTATAAAGAAGTGAGAATGTTGCTCAAAAGCGTAAACTGTTATATAATCAATAATATCAACTCAGCAGGCAGAAAGGATTGAGATGATGTTTTTCTTCTTCACAGACACAGGGGTTAAGGCAAAGCTTATACTTGGGATGTATTTATATAATCAAAAACAACAAATAATAACACTCCTTTAAAAAGTAATGTCACCTAACAAGTGATGTCACATTACTATTGAGTCCAGAGAGTCTGGATACACTACCCATAACATATTTCTCAACAACACAAAAATGTGCATTACACAGTTGCCTGTAAGGGTTTATTCTTTCCCTTGGCATTTCCAGCTGACTAGAAAAGGCAGCCTCCATTAATATCAACATAATTTTAAATGTGTCTCTCCATAAACCATTCCAGAAAATTAGTTATTAATCTTTGTTTGACAATTTCTTTTTGGGAAAAAAATTTAAAAATTAAGTTGGATTTGCTGTTGCTTTGGTAATTTTTTAAAACTATGATAGAATCACCCAAGTAAATTCTTACTTAGAAATCAAGCAAAATCAAGCAAAGATTAAGAGTTTGAAGGTTATGATAAATGCCACCAGTAATCCCAAGGGCATTAATTAAAATTTCTCTCAATTCCCAAGTACAATTGCTAAAGGATAAATTACAGAGTCAGCAAACTACAGAAAAAATGTGCACAGTAATATCAACATCACAGCGCTGCAGAATGCATACATATTACTAGTGTGCATGAAACATGAGGCAGAGGCTAAAACCTTGAGAGATTATATATGAAAGTGTCAAAGCAAAGCAGTATGGGTATACAGTAAGTACTCAGTGCTATTTCCTCTTTCCTTAGTTGGCATAGTGTTAACTGTGATTTTATATACCTGGATGTAAGCTTTTTTGTTAGACACAGTCACTGAGTCTCTCCTGAAATTGTATATGAAAATTTGTATATCTGAGCATTTTTTCTAAGGCAGATTCTCAAAGGGGTCCATAATCCAAGAAATTAAAAATCACTGATAACCTGAGTTAAGTGGTACGTAGATAATATTTATGGGAAATATCTCAATAATAATGATTGAAATGATCATATGGGAGAAGTGTTTAGAGCAGAATGCAAATTACAGAGAAGAGAATGAGTCTCTAGATTTAAGTGCTAATAGTAAATGAATACAGCTGACAAGAAATTAGGAAGGCAAACCTGAAATAAATGGTAAAATATTTTAAAATACTATAAAATTTAGTTTATATTTTATTCAAAATTTAGACTGAATAACAGTTAAGAATGGCTAATGGAAGACACAGATAAAAAAATATTATCTACAGTATTAGAAAGTGCAGAAGTAAATTCACAGGGTTTTCTTCCGATCAGAATTCTGTACTTACTCTCATACTTAGAACAAAGGAACTAAAATTAAAACTGTGATTTATGTTTGTATCATATATGGCCCATAAATTCAAGAGTAAATTTCCATACCCTTCAAATAATGAGAAAAGAAGCTTAATAACTTTATTGTGAATGTTTGAATTGGAGGCCAACCTTAATAACCAGGATGCTTTTATGTTTCACATAAAGATCATATATCCTTTATCCAAAATGCCTGGAACCACAAGTGCTTCAGATTTTGGATTTTTTTCCTTGAAATTTGAAATATTTGTGTATACTAATGAGATATCTCGGGGATGGGACCCAAGTCTAAACATGAAGTTCATTTATGTTTTGTCTACATCTTATAAACATAGGCTGAAGGTAATTTTATACAATATTTTAAATAATTTTGTGCATGAAACAAAGTTTATGTACACTGAACCATTCAGAAAACAAAGGTGTCACCATCTCATGTCAGTGCTCAACAAGTTGCAAATTTTGGAACATTTTGGACTTAGAAGCATTTTGGATTTTGGAATTATTGCATTAGGGATGATCAACCTGTATTAAAAACAACTATTTTATACTTACCACTCCCCCTACACACCGATCTCTATTTCTTTTCATTATGTCTGTGAATTAAAATCAGAAAACTTTTAGCAAATAGCTTGACTTCTAAAAAATTATTCAATTCTAAGTGAGAGTTTAGTTTTAACTCACCCAAAAATTCAGCATGTGAGTTTCGACAATGAAGAAACATTGGTAATTTCGTTTGTTCTGACAATTCAAACTGTTTTTCAAAGTATCTGAATAATGCAAAAAAATTTCCTTGTTAAAAATTTAACTTTAAGCATGAGAAAGAAAATTATCTCAAATGATTTTTTTTAACTAAAGGAATTTTATTTTCTAGAAATTACAGAATGGAAATAGTGAATTCACACATTTAAAGTACTTCAGGCTTAGCAGAGGGTTTTTATTAGCATGCAACTTCTGGAAAGGGATATTTCATTTTCTGGGCTTACAAAATTATTCTGAGGAAAACAAGCTGCTGGCTCCTTGCCACTCAAGCTTGTTGAGCACCATCAGTGGGAAGCAACTCACTTATGTGAGAAGCCAGGCAGAGCTTAATACTGAGTGTTCTTCTATTCCATTTTGCAACCAGATTTTTTTTTATGTGCTGTTATTAAAAAAAAATTACTGCCACTGAGCCAAAAGAACAAGGATTCCCTTAAAAATGAAATCTAAGTATTTGCTAAATAGCACAAAACTGAATTACACTTTTTTTCAAAAAATGAAAATTGCATTATAAAGTGATAGCCCCGACTATTGTAGAGTACCATATAAAAAGGTTTTTCCAAGTGCCACATACCATTATCTCATTTGATATTCAAAATAACCTTTGGACAGCTGGGCATGGTGGCATGGTGCCTGTTGTTCCAGCAACTTGGGAGGCTGAGGTGGGAGGATTGGATAGCTTAAACCCAGAATTTTGAGACCAGCCTGGGCAACATACATCCCATCTCAAAAATAAAATAAAGAATACAATACACTACAATAAAAATAACCCTAGGACAAGAGAGGTACAGTACTTCCTTCAAGATCACAACACATGATATGGCAAACTTGGAATCAAAACTTCACCGCTCTAATTCCAAGTCCCAGCCCAAATGACCTAAAATAGTTACATTTTTAAGAAGCTTCTTCCTGTTCCCAGACATTATCCAGAGGAAATATTAGGTGGGGTGTTCTATTTGTTTTTTCATTTAGACACAATGCTCCCCTTGCTTTCATTAATGGTCACATAGGTTCAACTGAAACCAGGACTACCATTGGCCTATTATTTTCTTAAATGGATTTATGTCTTCTAGGTCTTTTAATTTTAGGGAACAATTTCTCTGTGTTTAATTAAACCTCTTTTGTTATATTTTCCTATATCTTGTCTCCTGATGTGCATGACTATTTTCCTGGAATACCCCTTTGCACTCTTGAAAATGCCAAATTTTAAAATTAGAAATATACTTCTTAAAGAAATAGTCTTCCTACAATTGGTGGTCTGTCTTTATTACCCAATGTTTGAGTTTTTAGTCACCTTTTCAGATTCTGCTGGGTCAGAATAAGCAAAAATATTTTGTTGTAGTTAACAAAGTGCTGAAATTTTGCAGTGTAGAAAATATCTATAAAAACTTGGAGACAAAAAGATTTTAAGAATTATTACCAGTCACTATTTCCATAAGCTCTAAAGTAATCCAAATGTCAGCAACTATTTAAATGTGCTCTTGCCATTACATAAACTTTCCTATATATTTGGCTTCTGGCTACATACAGCAGGCAGTACTCTCCACTTGGTGTTCACTGCTTTATACACTGCTGATAATTTTTTCCACATACAATTCCATGGACCGAACTACAAATTTACAGAATCTAATGGTCAGTTTGGAAATTAGCTTCCTATCACAGGGTAGGCAAAAGTATAATTTATGAAAATAACAGAAGCCTACGCAATGTGCCCACAGAATTTTACATCATTTGAGGGGGAAAAAAGGTCCTTAAGTTCAACCTACCTAGGTATCATAAGGAAGCCATGAAGCAAAATGGTACAAATTGATAATGATACAAATTGAGGCTAACTGGTACTTAACACCAAATGACTACCATCTTTAAAGAAGAAAAAGCTACCATGGTAACTAGAAATAACAAAAGTTATAAGGCAGGAAATGGAATTCTAGTAAGAGACTTCTCTGCCTGTTTCACTTATAATTGATTTTTTTTGGTTTATTAATGAAAATCATTATTTACTTGAGTTAGATCTGCTCATCTTAGTGAAGGTGTCATTTGCTTCTGATTGTATTACTGCTTTTTACAGTTTAGGGTTAACACTACCTAAGGAGAAGAGCTTGAAAACTTCAACTTCAGAGTAGTAGTTATTAATTAGGATTAAAGCGAATCCAAAAAGCCCAGAGAGTTACACTAGTATACCTTAACACAGGTTCCCTCCTCTGTAAGTTGGATGGCCTCAAACTCTCATCTTTAGGGCCCCCCAAATCCTCAAAGGATTATTTTGAAAGTCTGCCTTTTTTATTTTTCTTCTTAAAGCCCCTAGGAAAAATGCCTAAAGCAAATTCCTCCTACCCAAGAGAACAGAGCTCTAAATTGCCGCAAAGAAAGGAGAGTAGGTAAGGCAGAGAACTGAAAATACAGGGTACGGTTTACAGGATAAATTTTCCATAAATAAATCAGGCCTATCCTTGTTTTAATTCTTTGCTTTGCTTTCTTGTTCTTTAAAAAATACTTTTCAATAATCCCAGACAAAAACTATTATCGCTGATATTTTCCCTTAGGATGGTAATATTTCTAGAAAGAATAATCTAACAATGGGTATGATTTATGAGTATTTACTCTGTGCTACGATGGGATTATATACCATATGCTAAGGAAGATAGGTGTCGTATCCCTATTTTAGAGATGAGAAAATTGAGACATACAAAGAGATAGACAGCCACCAATGGCAGTTATAAGTCACACCCAAAGACCTGCCAATGCCAATAACCATACTTTTAACACTATGTTATATATTGCCTTTACTTACCATAATTTTTCAGATACTACATCTATTGTACATTAATTTTTCTGTCTTGTCTCCTAGTCCACTGTGCTATTTTCTACTTTTCTTTTCTTATATATCTTTTTCTTGACTACATTTTTACTTAAAACCAAAAACAACAAATCATACACTGGTTAACTGGTGATGGTATAATGCGAAGACCAAAATCGGAATTCTCCCAAGAATAAGCCCAATAGTGAAAGCTGAATTATAGGCTTTTTTCTCTATACTGCTGTGTAGGAATCAGAAAGAATCCTCCCTCCTTGTTAAACATTCAACAAACATTTACTAAGTACTTACCATATGCTGAGTGCTGTGCTAAGTGCTATGGGAACTACAACATGAGTGAGACTTGGTGTGTGCCTTTGAGGAATTCACAGACACTAGTCTGTTGTGGGAGGGAAGGATACCTTAAACATATTTTCAGGATGATGTGATAAGCACTGAAACAAGTACAGAGTGCAGTGTACACACAGAATAGGGGTTGCCTACTGTTAGTACACACTCATGGAAAGGGAGGGAGGGAGGGCTGGAGGATGTGTGTATTTGTTTCTTTAACAATCCAAATGTGATTATTACTGGTATGTCTTTTTCTTACCCACTAGGTCATTCAATGTTTTATTATTTAAAACAAACAAACAAAAATCTCAAGTAGAACTGCTTATCTTATCTAAACTTTCAACCTACTTTAGTTTGTTCCTAGCTTATCCTCTCTGGAAGAGGCCAGCATCACACGCTGTCACCTTAGAGAACCCTTCCCTGACTCCCCCAGAAAGTCAGTCCTTTCTCCTGCTGTCTACACACCTTTGTGACTGCACTTCCAAACTGTTTTAATTATTTATGCCCTCTCTTGGACCAAGAGAGGAAGAAGGACCAAATCTTATTCTTCTTCGTATCATACTGAGACACTTACTAATCACTTACTGAATGAACTGAGTTTGAACTTTCTATTACTGATTAATACTACCACAATTGGCATGCATGTTAAAGCATAAGCTCCTACACATATTGTTTTAAGTTCTGATCTTACCCCGATGATGACAAAGTATCTCCAGAACAGTAAAGTAGAACAGATAACATCAATGTTTTCCTTTAACCCCCAAATTGAGTTTGAAGTATTTAGGCTGCATTTTAAAATCAGTTTTAACTCATTCTGGATGAAAAGTCACATGGGCAAGAAACTTGGGGGACTCTGTGACTGCGTTTGCTTGTCATAGTACATAGTCTGTCTACATACAAGGCTCATCCTGGCCAAAAAAAGATCATTAAAGTTGAGGAATAATGATCTGTGGGGCTGAACCTAAGAAACTATTAAAGACAACTGTTTATCTATTTCAATGTGAACTTTTAATGTTAAGTGAGCTGACCTACATGATATTCAAGAGAGGTAGAGGCCTTTAGTAACCTGGTCACCACATGAATGTCCCTGAAACACACAGCAAATGATAAACCACAAATTAAACAGTTCCGAAAGGGTTACATAAATGAAAGACCTGAAAGAAAGAGTATGTGTACACAGAACATTACTCTGACCCATCCTATTCCACTTGGTTATAGACCTTCACACACTAGGAATTTTGGAGCTTCAAGCTTAGGGTATGACAGACTCCACTAGTAAATCTGCTCCTTACTCTGGTGATTTTCAATTAGGGCAGACTGATTATCAGTATACAATTTGCAGGGGAGCAGGGGATAGAAGAGGGAGGAAGTATAATTTTGGCATTTATAATTTGAAAAATCCCTTTACGCCATCAAGTCAGTGGATTAATCATACAAACATATCACCTTAGGACAAAAATTATTAATTATTAAATATCATGATAGAGCTGAATGATATCTTAGAGACTCTGGCCCTAAATCTGGCCCGGCATAAGTAAAATACAATTTTCTAGCTTTGGTGATTAATCCTATATTCCATTTTTAATATCTCTTGCTCTTAAATCTTATCCCCCATAACAATTTAATTCCATTGGAATCGTTCGTGTATAAGTACATTTGTGTGGCAATCCTCCTCCCTCAGTCTCCCAAGTCCAAATAGCTGGGACTACAAGTATGTGCCACTACATTCAGCTAATTTTTCTTATTTTTTGTAGAGTCAGGGTCATGCTATGTTGCCCAGACTGGTCTCAAACTCCTGGCCTCAAGTGATCCTCCCACCTTGGCCTCCCAAAGTGCTGGGATTACAGGCATGAGCCACTGCACCTGGCCTGCATTTATTAAACAAACAATAAACACCAAGAAAAGGATCTCTATCATAGAAAACTCATCCCATATTTCTAACATTAAAATCAAATTAAATGATTAATCAATCAGGGAACTATGTACTTCCATCCCTTATGAATTACATGCAAGTATGCATAGAATGTTTCACTTAACTTTTTCTACACAAAGGGGAAAAACAAAAACATCCTGATGCTTAATCCAACTACATTCTTAACTGATAAAAGTTATTTCAAAACACTTAAGATTTTATAATAATTTCTAAAGTCAACAAATTTCCTTACTTGAGCTGAGTATCTTTGGGACAAAACTGTAGTCGGTCAAAATCTTGAGAAGATAAAAAAAAAGAATAATTACTCATGATTTATGCATAGCAAATCAGTTATTTTCAAATAAAGTCAGTCTAAGTGGCCAGGTTGGCACTTACCAAGTCCACATTCCCCTATTGCCACAACTTTCCCCTTATTGTTTTCAGCAAGATTTAGCAACTCCATTAAGTAAAGATCAGGGTTATTCTTTTCAAATTCACCACATCTTGTAGGATGACATCCAACTGTACTAAAAAACATATCTAACACAAAATAAAGTCTTAGGGTTATTTTCAAAATATTTCCTCATGTTTATATTTAAGATGCAAAATGCAAGAATATAAAATAATTTCAAACAGTTTTTAACAATAGCCATAAACTATTCAAACCACCAGAACTGTATTATGTTACTCATGAGAATTTTTGGAATACATGAACAAAGTAGAATATGAATATGAAAATAAAGCTCACTTATTTGGAGGCCACTTTGAAACATCTTTAATTGTATGAAACACAAATGAGAAGTCAAAATGCTTTTTGAGCGACTTAGCAGGTCCCTGTACCTGAACCCATGGGAGACATATGGAGTCTTTCTCAGCCTCTCATGCAGATTTTAAAGATGTATGGACACTAAGTACACAGAGAGGACTGGAAGAAGGTCGATAATGGAGGTGGGAGAACTTTTAAAAGCACAGATGGTTTGGGGATAAAAAGTGAGGATAAAATATTCTGATATACCTCAAAAACTTCTGGAAGATAGTATGTATAAACCTAAAGTGAGCAATGAGGGATTATATATTACTATTACATTTACATTCCTGGGGCCCTGCACAGTGTCTGGTCCATATAATAAATATTTAATAAAACAATCCTTCACAGCTCAAGTTAAAAAAAGAATAAATAAAAAGCAACTCATATTTTAAACACATTACAATACACACATACAGATTCCACATCAGAAACACTTAAGATTAAATTATGTACCTGAACTTTATTCTCAGTAAGTGAAATCTTAAAATAATCTTTGTTAAGTACTAAGGTAAGGTTTTATCGAACATCTCTGATATACCAATGAGTACTTTGAATTTTGTCATCTTAATCAGTCCTATTGAAATCAGTCCATTTTCCTGTTCTTTCTACAGTCAGTGAAGCATTGTATTGTACCTGAAGCAGTTCTCAGAAAGACTTCTTCAAAATTACTTAATTCATATTTTTTTTTGGTAAAAATAATATGAGGATACCATTTGTTTGTGCCAAATGCAGTGCATCTTTACTGTCTTGTAGATTTCCACCTGTAATCATAAACTGAAATAGAAAGAAATAAAATAAGCTGACTTTAATAGGGTATCAACAACAGTTTCCTAAGCAGGACTTCCTGTCGCCTCTTTATTCCACAATGCTTTTTCCTCTGTGACTGCCACACATCTACTCTTACTTTAAATTTTAGCCAGAGGATCACCTCCTATGTAGACTGGTACCTGACTACCCCTCTGCACACAAACCCACCACAGCTGAAATTTGTCATTCCTCCTTGTTAAAATGTATTTACATGCCTGTCTTTCCTATTAGACCAAGTGTTCCTAGAAGACACAGATCATGTGTTATGAAAGACTGAATAGCTGGAGACTTGCAAATTTACGATTTTGTTAATCTAAATCAGTGACTAATTTAAACCAATGATTCAACAGTGTTGATTAGTTCAACACTTCTCCAAGTATAGTCTGGGAATTCCTAGGAGGTATGTGAGGTCAAAACTATTTTCATAATCATACTAAGACACTATTTATCTTTTTCACTCTCATTCTATCACAAATGCACAGTGAGGTATTCCAGAAGCTCTGCGATGTGTGATAGTCACCACAAGAGTGACTACAGAAACAGATAGGAAAATTCAGCAGTACTCCGTTAACCCAGCCACTAGAGAGATTTGAAAAACTGTATAAAAATTCCACTCCTGTTGCTAAATTTTTTGGTTCTGGAAAATACTTATTTTTCATAAAAATATGCTACTTGCATTATATGGTAGTTTATTATTATTTTAAAAGAAATTAATAAATATTTTAAAATTTTCCCTACTTTCTAATAGAATACATTATCAATAGGTAAAACCCACATGAACTAAAGCTCTTTGGCAGTCCTCAATAATATTAAAAAGTATGAAGGGGTTCTAAGACCAAAAAGTTTAAGAATCACTGAGTTAGTGTATACTGATGAATCCTCTACAGGAAAATGTATAGCTCTTGGCAAATAAGCATACTTCTACAGAGATAGCCATTAGAGGCCACCCAATAGTTAGAATGCCATCTGTTCTAATCTGTTAAAATAAAAACGTCACTGAAGAACGATTTGCTGATGGTAAGTATTAAGGCAGTGCTGCTTAAGGTCTACATTCTTCTAAAGAAATGGTTCAAGCAAGCACACTGACTGTACATTTTTAAAGCATGCTTCAAGAGTCTAAGCTAAAATGAAGAATTCATTCTAGGTGCACACCTCAAGGGAAAACATACAAAACAAAGGTAGTATTGCAAATGATAAACAGGTATTTTCATATAGCAACTCAAACCTCTAATCTGACTAGACATTGAGTATCTATTCAGGAAACTATAAACTGTCTGTAAATCATAGGATACTGTAAAACATAGGATATAAGATATTAATAAAAATGTTGGGAAAACCTTGTTACTTAACATTACCTAATTCTGTAATACCAGACCACATGCCCACATCCAGTACTTCAATTATGCAAAATAGTTTCTAACCAAGTCTACTTATTACTTTACCTATAACCTTTCCAAATAGTTGAAGGAGTTAGAACAAGACTAGAGGGCACGATTTCCTCTCTCAATGTACAATGATGATGATGACATGATGACGGTGGCTTATATTGTATACATAACGAAGGTTTGTTTATGCCAGGTATAATACCAAATGTTTTAAATTCAATAATTTACCTAACTTTCATAAGAAGAATGAAGCTGGGACTGGAACCCAGGTTTGTGATGCCTTAACTGTTCTTTTAGTCACTATAACTGCAAGGTACTGAATTAAATTTCAATTTGGAACCATGCCCAAGTAAATATCACTTCAGTTCTATCACTCCTAAGTCAGCAGTGTGTGTGTGTGTGTGTGTGTGTGTGTGTGTGTGAGAGTGTGAGAGAGAGAGAGAGAGAGAGAGAGAGCAAGCGAGAGCGAGCATGAATAGAGATATTAAGGTTAAATTAGTCATAGCTGACACATGAAAATTTAGGAGCTTGGTATTTCAGTATGCAGAAAAGCACTATATAAAGTGATTTACCAAGCAGGCAGTGACTGCATAATGAGAAATCAATGTGACTTTTATCCTTTCATATTTCTTATGAATAATAACTAATATGCAACTCAGAAGCAGTAGCTACCAATTGTCCTGATACCACACTATGGATTTAACCTTATTTCTTATGTGCATATGTGAGCTAGCTTGCTATTTTAAAAAGTAATTTAAGCAAATGTTTATTCAAAGAATTTGACACTGAGCTAATATTCATTTGCTTATTAGAACTCTTTAAAAAGTAGTAGAAATTTTACTGCTATAAAAGTTAAAGTGTTCTCTCAGTTATTTGAAATGGTATGCCCATATAAAAGCAAGACTTGGTGACAGATACACGTCTTTTTGACAATTGCTTAATTATAACAAATGCTAAATTATGTTACAAAATACATTAAAAGTTGCTTCTTAAGAAGCCTGGTAATTCACATAGGCTTAAACAGTTTTTTCCAAAGAGATTTTGCTATTTATCACATTTCTGATCACATGAAACAACTATATATGAGGTTTGTGTAACTTAAATTCCTGGGAAGAGAATATTTTGATATTTTATTTCTATTAACTTGCTAATATCCTATGCAGACACTAAATATCCCAAGTGTGGCATTGGCTCTTTACCTTCTACTCTGAAGAACCTTAACTAAAATTTAGTTTAAAAACTCAAGAATATATTAAGCCAGTCTGTTGCATTAAAAAAAATAAAAATAAAAAAAATTAAAAAAAAAACAAAAAAAACCCTCAAGAATAACAAAAATCAGATGTACCTTTTTAACACCAATCTGGACAGCTCTCCCTATTATATCCTGTAAGTCATCTGTAAAAGACAAACTCCACATTAAGAAAACCTGGTAAATAAAAATTTGACTATTGTTTGGTCTATGTATATCATTATTTAAAGTTATATATATAAAATCATGAACTTCCACAGATAAGAATAGCTTGATTAAAACTTAGTTATAATAGGTGCTTTATAACTGTTCATGGTCATGGTTTACCAATATATGTTTCACTTTACAGTTTTATATAGGATGCGAAATTCTTTGTTATATCAATTATAAGAGTAGATTATGCTTTTAAAGATCTCCTTGAGGTGGAAATTTGTCTTTATAGAACAACTATTTACCTTAATAAAAGAAACATTTACCTTGATGCTTTTGAACCCCCCTATAAATTCCTCTGAACATAGGATCTGTCAAGTTGATACCAATATCTATGGAAAGCAAAAATAAAATAATTGATTAATCATTGACTCTCTATTTGAAACTTCTACTTTAAATAAAAGCTCCTGTTACTCAACTTTTCATTCATACACTCATCTATTCAAACAGTATCAAAGTACTTACCACATGTCAGCTACTGTGCTTGACACATTAAATACAAAGATGAATTTAAGATATAATTCCTGCTTTCAAGAAACTCACTGCAGAACTGGTAAGGCAGACTCATTAACAGACAGTTATGAAATATTAGATGTAAACATGGTACTATGGGGCACAGAAGAGGAACACCCAACCTAGTCTGGTGGCTGGCTCAGAAGAAGCTTCCAGAAAGAAGTAATCCCTGAACTGAATCTTAAAGGATGAGTTCCTGTTGCCCAGTGGAAGAGAGGAGACTATAAACAGAGGAAGCAATAGGAGCAAAGCCTCCAGGGTGGGAAACAGCACAGTGCTTGTAGAGAGCTACAGCCTGTCTCAGCTGCTGGAAGAACAGTTGGAAAGCAAATGCAGATTGATCAAAAATATTAGGTAAAAATTAAAAATAATACAATAAGGAATAATACAAATAAAAATAATACAGTATAACAACAATATACATAGCATTTACATTGCATTAGGTATTTTAGGTAATCTAGAGGTGATTTAAAGTATACTTGAAGATGTGCATAGAAAATATGCAAACACTATACCATTTTATGTAAGGGACTTGAGCATGTCAGGGGCCCTGGAACCAATCCCCTTTGAATACAAGATGACTGTATAAGAAAGGGGCCAGACCCAGCTATATTCAGACACTTGTATTTAAAATACTGGATGAAAAGCTCTGATAGCTTTTAAGCAGAGGAGTAAGATTTACATTCTGGACATCTCTTTCTGGTGTCTTTGTAAAAGGTGGAATTTGAAGGGGACACTGGAATTAGGATGTCTCATTTGGAAACTGGAAAGAATTTATATTTGCAACAAAGATAGCCTGAATTAGAGTAATGTAAGTGGAGACACAGAGGAATAAATTATTTCCTTTATTCACCAAATACTTACAAAGACCAACTCTGTGCCAAATACTATGTAAGGAATTAAGGGATAGAGAAATGAATAAGACCCAACACACAGGCCAGGCGCGGTGGCTCATGCCTGTAATCCTAGCACTCCGGGAGGCAGAGGCGGGAGGATTGCTTGAGCTCAGGATTTTGAGACCAGCCTGAGCAAGAGTGAGACTCTGTCTCTACTATAAATAGAAAGAAATTAGCCAAACAACTAAAAATAGAAAAAATTAGCTGGGCATGGTGGCACCTGTCTGTAGTCCCAGATACCAGAGAGGCTGAGGCAGGAGGATAGCTTGAGTCCAGGAGTTTGAGGTTGCTGTGAGGCAGGCTGACAACATGGCACTCTAGCCCAGGCAAGAGTGAGACTCTGTCTCAAAAAAAACAAAACAAAACAAAAAAAACCCAACACATCTGGTGCCTACCCTTCAGGATTTACAGTAGATATGAGAACTACAAATATAATCTGTTATATAATTAGTTAGACTGTTAGCAACATGAAGCAAGAAATCATGTTTATCTTCTTCACTGCTGTAACCCTAGAACCTAGCACAATGGTTAGCATATAATAGGAGCTTTATCCACACTTATTTAGTCTGTAAATAATTATGTGCATGGGAACACAAGGGAGGGGCAATACAATTGTGAGAGGCATGATGAGAAAAGCTTTGCAGAGGAGATGGATCTTAAAGAGCTTAGGCCTCTCAGCTGAAGAAGGTAAAGGACATTCTATATATAGATGTGTGCAGGTACATACTGCATCTAGAAGACTGGAAGAGCGTCCTGGTGGCTATAGAGCAGTGGTTCTCAGTAGAGAACATCTCTCTCTCCAAACCCCCTTCCCCACTCCCAAGATTTAGCATGTCTGTATGTATTTTTGGTTGTTACAACTGAGGGGAATGCTACTGACAGCTAGGGTTGAGGCCATGGATGCCGCCAAATATCCTACAATGTACAGAAAAGCCTCCCACCACCAACAATTATCTGACCCCCCAAAATCAAGGGCCACTCTTGGTAAATTCTGCTGTGGAAGAGAACAAGGGGAACAAGATATGAAGTCAGAATGTGACAGTCAGAGGCAAGAAAAATGCTTCCTTTATTTGAAATACACATCCTTTAGCTCAGAGCACTAGGATAATCTCTAAATTTGTAGTAATGATGGTGGGGCAGTTGCTTACCAATAGACCCCCCTACATTATTTCTGCCAAGTTTCAGCTGCTTCTTGGTATGTTCTCATTCTGACTTCTGCCAAGCTGGCCCCCAAGAATGTCTGCTCCAACACTAAGAAAGACCTTGAAAGATGAATTGTCGTTTGGGTAATTCAAGAGATAATGGAGACAGTATTCTAGGTATTTGAAAAAGCAAAAGAAAAGCAAAACGCAGAAAACTACAAAGATAATTGGACAACAGCATGTCAAGAGAGATGGATAGGGTGATGAATTCACAACTGGCACCCTTTAAAAGAGCTACTTACATACAAACAGCATCTACTACTACAAATACAATTCAGGGTTTCAGGGTGTCAACTTAAAATCACAAGATCTATAAATTTAGAAAGGAGAACTTTAATTATTATGATGGATTGCAATCTGCAGGCTGGTAAGCAGAGCCTCCAGCTGAGACCAAAACTAGCACTTCATTGGAGGAAGAATGGGACAGGAGGTGTATGCTAAACGGATTGGCTAAATATACACTTTTAACAAGTTATAGGAGGAGTTATAAATATTCATGAAGGGGGTCACACACATATGTAGTAAGCAGAAATATATGTTACATACATCCTATGTTCACTTTGGGGTGGAGACTTAACATTAAAATCCAGTAAAATTAGTCCCTATATGTCAAAAGGTGAAACACAGGACACAAAGGCACTTTGAGCACAGCCTCTATGAACTTAACAGAACAGCCTGTGGTCAGTGGTCATTTATCAGGAAGTAATGCTTTGTAAAATGGTCAGTTGTCATGTTGAAACTGCAAAAAGGGAGGGGAGTCAGGTGGTTGGCTGAAGTCAGCAGAGGGGTCTTCTGGTTTTTGTTTTTCAGAGATGGTTTCTGTTTAATTCTAAGGAGGGGGAAGGTCTGGTAATGTTTAGTGAGGAGGAAGGTGGTATACTGAGACATAACCAATCACCTGTCTCATCATGGCCAGGAAACTTTGTTTTTGAAGTTTTTCTGAAGTCTCCTTGGCCAAGAGAGATCCTTACAATCAGTCGAGGGTCTTAGGATTTTATTTTTACTTTACATTTCCCACTTTTAGTCAAGATCTGCTATAGGCAGGACTGATGGCCAAACTTTTTTGTCTCATGTTGTTGCTAGGGTGATGTGCCTACCTACCCCAGGTCTATCCAGTCCCTAGGTGGGATCCTTGTGGCCAAGGGACTTACAGCCAATTTAACATCCTAGGCCAGACCAGAAGAGAGGTGGGCAGGCACTCATTAAACCCTAAGATCTATCAAATGATGTAAGAGTCAAAAGGTAGGGTTATAAATTTTACTTGTCTATAAGTTCTATGCATTGAACCATCATAATTCTGTTTTTTAACAGCAGACTTACAGCAGTTGTTTATACAAATCATAGTTTGTATAATTTAAATGTTCAGAAGAAAAGTATGATAGAGACTATAACAAGGAATGGCAGCTTGAAAGGGATTTCCCAGTCCAGTAGGAAGCCAATTATCATAAATAGATCAACACCAGGACTTCATACATCTTGTAACCATTTAGCTTGTTTGGAAATTCTTTCTATACGAGTTTTTACTTGACCTGAAGTGTTGATGTAAGTGTGGCAGGTGGTATAGGCCACTGCACAGACTTCTCCCTCCTTGTTTTGCTAGGAGAAAATCTAAAGCAATTCTATTATCTAGTACTACTTGAACCAGGGAGTTCAGATATTTTTGTTTGGCTGCAAGATTTTTTGCAGTGTCTTCACCTATCTGCTCAATAGTGGCAGTCAGGTTTTTAATCATGTCCCTGTTGACATAAACCCCAACACTTGTAATTAATATTCCTAGGATGCTTGGTCCTGTATTATATCCTGCTAGCATAGGTTTTTAGTTTTATAATAAAGAGAGAAAGAGGGTCTTTCAGTATGTTTATGTAAGGATAAATGGGTTACAAAATGTCCTAGCAAGCATGACCCTTCTATGCATAAGCTTTCGAGGCGACAGTGTACCCGTCCCTGTGCAGGCAGATCAGAACCTATGCTATATACAAACACATAGCCTGGGGGGGGACAGGTGATACCCCCAAGGGTGTGTTCATCAATAGATTCATTCATAGGAAGTACTGACAATATTGAACGATGTGTCATTTCCTTTGCAAACTCTCCAGGATCCATTTACGTGATATTTTAAACATAAGTATTGTTGGCATAGTAAGGACATATTTTCAACTTTATTTATCTGATCTAAACCACATTTGTCTAGCCAGTAGTTAACAGATCAAAGAGGCCCTGTAGTATAGAACAGGTTTCCAACATTAATAACAGGACAAATTAAAACAAGGGGTGTTAATGTTTGGGTCTTGAAGCCATTGGATCCTGAAAGTAAACAGGGAAAGACATTGGTCTAGATAAATGGTGACATTGGGAACATCTGAGAAGTTAGTGACAAGTGTTATCTGTGGCATTTATTTATCATGGCCGGGTGTGGTGGCTCACGCTTGTAATCCTAGCACTCTGGGAGGCCCAGGCCAGTGGATCGCTCAAGGTCAGATGTTCGAAAACAGCCTGAGCGAGACCCCGCCTCTACTAAAAATAGAAAGAAACTAATTGACCAACTAAAAATATATATACAAAAAATTAGCTGGGCATGGTGGCACATGCCTGTAGTCCCAGCTACTCGGGAGGCTGAGGCAGTAGGATCGCTTGAGCCCAGGAGATTGAGGTTGCTGTGAGCTATGCTGATGCCACGGCACTCACTCTAGCCTGAGCAACAAAGTGAGACCCTGTCTCAAAATAAATAAATAAATAAAAAATATCATCAATGGATCTGGGAAGCTGGTGGCAAATCTAGCAATCCAATAGGCTTCCTCCAGTGGCAGCACTCTGGGATAGCTTAACCAAAGTGATATCATACCAAATTTTATGCATTGGGACAGAGGGACAATCACAAAAAGGTAGAAAAGGGGCTAATAGAGCTCTGAGAGTAAAGGAAAGCAGGGATGAGCATTTTAGCTATTCAGAAAATTGAACCAAGGGTAAAACCATGAATCCCATACAAATTCAGGGGGTTTATCAGACAAATTTTGAAGACTGTCTTTAAGGTAATAGAGCAAATGACTAATAAGGAATAGAGTAATCATGTCCTCAGGAGAAGGTCATAAGCCTTGCCTAGTTCTGAAAATGACAGGAAAAGAGAGCTCAAAGATAGCTAAACATTCAAATTATCTAGTTTCAAGGCAAAAAATGAATTACATTACTTTAGGTAGAATAATAATTATTAAATGAGTCCCAGTGTCTTTCAATACAGGCCTGGCCCTGTGTCTCATGAAAGCAGTTCACTTTGTCACCTTTTCCTGGGCCTTAAAGACAAGGATTTGGATAACTTGAGTTTGATGTCAGTTATCAGCATTGATTTCCAAGATTCAGCAGAGGTGGCAATTTCTTCAGATGAGATATGTGCACCCAGGAGTCAACTTCCTGTAACTTAGCAGCATAAGGATTAATTAATAACACCTGATAAGGACCCTTCCGATGGAGCAGGAGGGAATCTTTTAATTGATGTCTCTTCCAGTACATGCAATTACCAGGCTGAAGTTGGTGATGCTGGAATTCATGATCTGATTGGAAACCGTGAAAAGATGGTAAACCTTGCATTGATAGATTTTTATAGCTTTAATGAGCTGCCAGCAATGAACCAGGAGTTCCCCCTATAATTGGGTAGGAGAAAACATTTCCTGGCCTAAGTGCATAGGTTGTCCTGTAATTTTGTCTGGGGGCTGAAAGTACAATTTTTTGTTTTATCCATTTCCTCTTTTCAGACTCTGAGACTGTCTTTTGAGATAGTGAGAATCTGCAAAGGAGATCTTCAGATGGGGAGGGGCAGGAGGAGGAGCAAGGGGAGAAGAGCAGGTAGTGTGTGGAGTAAGCATAATTGGGAAATTATACTGCCACATCCGCTAAGTGGTTGCATTTGTTGCCTTCTGCCTTGTCAGAGGAATGTCCCTAGACTTTGATAATGGCTGGGGCTTGAGGAGCCTGAATGGCATTTAAGAGAGCCAAAGCAAAGTCTTTGTTCTTTATAGGCTGTCCAGAGGAAGTAAAAAAATCTCCTTTGTTTCCAGAGCATGCCAAAACCACAGGCAAGTCCAGAGGAAGGCATACCTGCTGTCTGTATAAATGTCTGCCATTTTAGCCTTGGCTGGCAGGCAGTCCTGAGGAAGGATATGTAGTTCCACCTATTGGGGGATCAGGCACCTGACAGGGGACCTGATTTGATGGTTTCTATGCAGAATTTTTAAGAAAGGATCCATCAGTGTACCAGATAAAATCTGGACTGGGAATGGGGGTCTCCTTTAAGTCTACAAGGGATAAAAGAAGGGAAGGGCATCTGTAAAGGCAACACAGTCATGGGGAACATCTTTTCTTGGTAAAGGCAAAAGGGGGGCTGGATTAAGGAAGTTGCAACAAACCAAGTTAGAAGAGGAGGAAAAAAGTATCTCAGTGGAGGTCAACTGGCTGGTTGTAATATGCCCAGTATGGTGAGAGATGAGAAGGGCTTCAATTGAATGAGGAACATACAGAGTGAGAGAGAATCCTATTATTAATTTTTTGGTAGCCTTAATGAGGGTAGAGGAGGCAGAGTGGCAGTCCTTGGGCCACTGAGTCTAACTATTGACTATAATACCCAATGGGCTGACTGCTACCCCCATGGAGCTGAGTTATGACTCCCCTTCCTTATGTTCATGGGAAAAAAGGGAGATAATAATTTGGGTGTCCTAGAGTAAGGGGTGAGGCTAATTGATCTTTTGGGTCCCCAAAGTGCTTGCTTTTAGTCTCAGCCAGAGGTGTGCCTCCTGGCCTGCAGCTTGCAACCCAGCAGAAGAAATAAAGTTCTCCTTTCCAAATTTATAGATCTCATCATTTTAAGTCAACAAGTAGAATGGCCCAGATCATAAGAAATTATCATTTGGGCCGGGCGCGGTGGCTCACGCCTGTAATCCTAGCTCTTTGGGAGGCCGAGGCGGGCGGATTGCTCGAGGTCAGGAGTTCAAAACCAGCCTGAGCAAGAGCGAGACCCCGTCTCTACTATAAATAGAAAGAAACTAATTGGCCAACTGATATATATAGAAAAAATTAGCCGGGCATGGTGGCACATGCCTGTAGTCCCAGCTACTCGGGAGGCTGAGACAGAAGGATCGCTCGAGCCCAGGAGTTTGAGGTTGCTGTGAGCTAGGCTGACGCCACGGCACTCACTCTAGCCTGGGCAACAAATCGAGACTCTGTCTCAAAAAAAAAAAAAAAAAAAAAAGAAATTATCATTTGGTTTCTTTACAAGTAAGGGAAGGAAATTAGGTAAAGAAGGGGGCAGGCTGAGAAAATTTACCCAGTGAAATTTTCTGCCTAAAATAATCTTTCACAGAGGTTCAGCCTGTGGTAACCTACTATCATTGATCATTAGGAAAATAGAAATGGTTTGTGTCTCTTCTAGTCCATTTCCCCTTTGTGCAGTGTACAAGAAACAATTATTCACGACACACATTAAAGACCATAAGGAAGCCTTTATTCAAGGACTAGTGCAGTGAGGGTTTTGCAGAAGGAGACTGAGATTGGGCTCAACTCTGAATACAAGGACAAGTGAGGATTTATAGCTACCAAATAGGGTGAGTATCAACAGACAAAAAATTACTAAGAGGAAACATCGGACGTAAGGGAGGATTCTGGCTTAACCCAACTTGGCAGATTCTTGCTGAAGGCAGGCCAAAGTGATAGGATATACAAAATGGGAGATAAGGAATTGAGGGAGATCAGGGATTTTCACTGAACTGATCCAGTGGAATTCTTCCTAAAACTGGACCCAGTGGGCCAAGGACAGAGCCCAAGGTTGGGACCTGGTCAAGAAGCCAGCTCAGGACAGTCTGATTCAGGTTTAGTCAAGGAGAGAGACTTTGTCAGCAGCAAAGAGATTAGAATTTTTCCAAAGCAATCTTTTACTATAAAGCAAAGTGAAAAACATATGGAACTGAAAAGCAAATTTAACAGGTAAACATTTATGCCTGTAATTTTAAAAGGTAATTAAAGATTACACTGGAGACTCAATTTATGAAGCCATTCCTTGTCCTCTCTCAACCCTAACAGGAATGGATGTTAAAGGGGATGCTAAATTGTTCAGCAATGCCTACCCTGAGGCAGATGCTGGTTGAGATCAATTCCAGGTGATACAACTTCTTTCTAGAACAGTCTTCTGAAGGGTCAGTTGTTCAGGCTGATTCAGTGTACTTAAACTTCTAAATTCAGGTTTGGTTGCAAGTGTGTCTTGGGCTTTAAGATACACTGCACTGGCTCAGCCACCAACTTCTTCCCTCTTCTGTAAGAATGGTTCATATAGGTCACATATAGTCCTTTTCTTTCTGACATATGATTTGCCTAAAGTGCATTCCTTAGCCAATTATTAGAGCTGCTTCTATCATTTGATGAATAGGCTGCTTTACCTAAGCTAGGAAGTTTGGTGGCAAATATCTTCTTTTTCTGGACTCTATGTGATTCACGTCCGTTTTCTCTAAGTTCTCCTCTTATATTTAATGGCCTCTGAGATACACACCACTTCCTCACCCACCTACCCACGAGCAAACATCGGCGCAGTGATTAAGATAAGTCAAAATAGAAGGACCAAAGAAAAGTTCAAATTCATCTACTGGATTTTGGGGGGTTGTTTTCTTCCTCTTTTTCAAATTGACTACAACACACACGTTAAAAAGAGCCCAAATCAAAACCGTGCTTGTGCATAATCACAAATAAATACACTCTCGTGAATCCAGGACCTAGATCAAGAACCAGAACACTGATCATCAGCATTCACCCAGACGCTTCCCCGTGCTTTTTTCCATTGAGTGGCCCTTTCAACCTTTAAAAAGCCGGAGAGTGCAAGTACTGGGCCCCCTAGCCTTGGTTAGCGACATGCAAGAACCGTGAAAGCGCTCCTCTTACCAATAAACTTGAAGCGAGTCATGACTGTTGCCGTAGGATCGCCCCGGCGGAAGCGGAAGTGGCAGGCAGCAGCTCCGCCCTTCCAGCCGACTCGCCTGGTGCCAAAACCCCAGGCTTCCGGTTTCCCGGTATCCCCCGCGGCCGCTGAAGGGCAGCCGGCCGTCATGGCGTTCTCGGCGCCCTTGGCCTACCTGACCCATCAGCAGAAGGTGTTGAGGCTTTATAAGCGGGCGCTACGCCACCTCGAGTCGTGGTGCGTACACAGGTAGGAGAGGGGGACCAGGGCCTGGGAGGGAGGTGATCTCGGGGACTCCATGGAGGCTAAGAAGCGCCAGGGGATGGGGCAGCTCAAGGACTTTAGGGACACATTGGAAGGCAGCTTCTCCCTCCACAGAGCCCGCCCAGAGACGCGGGTTCGAATGTAGGCTCACAGCCCATAGCTACGAGACCTTGTAGAGTTGCTTATGTGGTCGGGTCTTAGTTTTCTATAAATTAAACCAGAATCAGGACACAGCGCAAAGGTTGCTTGCGTTTAAATGAAATAAAGAAATATGTCTAAAACTGTAATTGTCACAGGTCCAGCGCTCACGAAATGATACCTTTATGATCTCATATTAACAATAATATGTGCAAAAATAATATGTGCAAATTATGTTGTTTTGTCTGCAAAACAATTCTAGGAGTTAGGGATTATTTTAGCCTTATTTTACACAAGAGGAAATAGGCAAAGAGAATAATGTGTGCAAGGCCATAGAGCTAGTTGCTAGCCAAGCCAGTATGAAAACTGACGTATGACTCCAAGGCATTATCATTGTCCTACCCTCCTATCAACTTTTCTGTTTTTAGCTTCATCCAGTCCTTTTCATCATTTTCAAGTCGTTTTTTACCGCCCACGTAGTTCCATTCTTTCCTCCTCTATGCATCTGAGATGAACTAGTCTTAGAACATACTGTTAAAATATATAGATTTGCATGACCTAAATGCAATGTAAGGTGAGTCGACAACCCAAGATGTTTGAATGCGAGACCCCCACTCTTGTCAGAATTTTAAAACCTAGTTTCAGGAGAAGGGCTTCTGGGAAAAACCTCTAAATGATAGAAAACTGGGTAGAGTTGCAGAGGATATCCTTGAAGTCCAGACTGCATATTTGTGATTATTAGAAAGTCCTGGACATATTTCTCTTTGTTAGGCAAGAAGATAGCCATGTATAGGGTTGCAGGATTGTTAATTTCTTCCCTGAGTTTTCCTTATTCATTTATTTGACAGTATTTGCAATTCGGGTTCTATGATGGATGCCAAATAACTTAAAGTTAGTAAATCCTTTTTTGAGCTGCAGCAGCTCATGGATTAGTGTGGAAAATGCACATATAAACAAATAGATAACAGGATTAAAATATCAGTCCAGTCAGTCTTATAAAGATGAAGGAAGTCAAGCCTTTAAGAATTCAGATATCCCAACACAAAGAAATTATAAAATTTTGGGGTAATGACTATCCTAATTGCCCTGATTTGATCATAACTCATTGTATGTATATGTCAAAATATCACATGTATCCCATAAGTATTTACAATTATTAGGTCATTAAATATGAAGTGTCCGATTTCAAACCAAAAATGTAGCTTATTATATCTCAAACTGTAAGCAGTACAATTAACCAAAGTATGCACCTAAATTGTCCACACAGTTTTGCCATCTTAATGGTAGCTTGTTTATGCCAGCAGGGAAGAAACCTGGAGAGTGAGTGGCAATGAAATTACGAAAGGCATTTTCCACAGCTTGTTGAGGACTGAATATTTTTCCTTGCAAGAAGTGGTCCAAAGCCTGGAAGAAGTGGTAGTCAGTTGGTGCAAGGTCTGGTGAATATAGTAGATGACAGAGAGTTTCCAAGTCCAGCTGCTATAGTTTGAGCAGCATTGTTTGTGCAACATGTGGTCAGTCAAGCATTGTCTTGCAATTGTCTCTGTTAAACAATCTGGGCTGCTTAATCACAAGCATCCTCATCATTTCATCCAGTTGTTTGCAGTAGACATCTGCGGTAATCTATTGTTCAGGTATGGCTATGGTAGGTAATACCAGCACTGGACCATCAAACAGACACCATTAGCTTTTTTGATGAATATTCAGTTTTAGACTGTGTTTTAGCATTTCATCTTTATTCTAACCATTGTGTCAAACGCCTGCAATTGTCAAAAAGAATCCATTTTTCATCACATGTAACCATATGTGTAGAAATGGTTCATCTTTATTTCCTGACAGCAAAGAAAGGCAAGCTTTGAGATGATTTCCTGTCTGATGCTTGTTTAATTTACCCAGAACCAATCTATCCAGCTTCTATATACCTTGCTGATTTGTTTCAAATGGTCCAATATTGTTGGAAAAGTAACGTCAAACCTTGCTGCTAATTCACACATAGGTTGAGATGGATTCGCTTCCACTACAGCTTTTAGCTAATCATTATCCACGTTGGTCTCAGGTCGCCCACATGGCTCATTTTTAAGATGAAAATCACCAGAACAGAACTCAAACCATCAACATACTGTGCGTTCATTAGCCACATCCTTCCAAATGCTTCATTGATATGTCAAGCTGCCTGCACTGCATTGGTTTCACAATAGAACTCATATTAAAAAATAACATGAATTTTTGACTTATATGCATGGTTTCACAAAATTACTCTAAAAAATTTTTGAAAGATAATCACAAGCCAAAATATGTGCTTGCAAGACTGAGGGTGCATCTTCACAATAAAAATAAAACAAGAAGTGTCAAAGTGAAATACCAAAGATATCAACTGTAAAACTTAGTTTTTAAGGAAATCGGACATTTCATACTTTATAACTTTACTGTTATGTATCAATTTTTAAAAATTAAACATAAATAAAAAGAATTCTGGTAATCCTGAGCTACAGCTGGGAATATTGAAGTCCATAGCCCTGGAGAAAATGATAAAACTAGCTACAATGAAAGCACTGGCTCAGCATTTTTAAATCTTACATTTTTCTCAGTCCTTGCCTAAATTCCTTCCTCCATTTGCCCTCATAGTGCTATCTGTTCTCCATGGTTTCATCCCAGGTCCTCTATATTACTATATGTACTTTGGGCAGCCTCATTTAATTCTGGAACTCGAGTTGCCACCTATGCTTGTGTCTCTACAGCTGTAATTCCAATTATTTGTTAGATCACCTACTGTTCTCTGAAACTCAATTTATCTAAATTCCTTAAAACAAACTCATCTTCTTTTCAATTCTCCATTCTGATTCTCTTTCCAGATTCCCTGCTTCAGCTAAAGGCCCTATTAGCAATTCAGCTTCTAAGTTTTAAGTCTCAGAATTTTTACCACTTACTCTTCAGCCAATAACACACGTATACCATGTATAATTAAACACTGATTTTTGTAAATTCTCTTTCCAGTGCAATAATATTAGTAACTGACATTATTGAGCACTTGGGATATACCAAACACTTTGTGAAATGTGTTATGTCATTATGTTTTTTAGCTCTAAGTCAACCCAAGGTATATAGACATTGTTATTAACACTGTTTTATAGAGGGGGAACCCATGGCCAAGAGACAGTAAGTAACTTATCCTAGATTACACAGCTTGTGGCAGAGCTAAGGTTCACGCCCGCGCAGTCTGACTTGAGAGTCTCATAACTTGGTAATCTAAATATCTCTCTCCTGTCTCCATTCTGTCACGACTACCACTGCCAGCTTCAGGTCCTTGTATCTGTGGCCTGGATTATTGTCAAAGCCTCATAACTGATCTCTCCCCAGTTTCTTCAGAACCCGACAGCAAATTGCCTAAGGTCACACGGCTAGTGTCAGTCAGGATTCAAAACCAGCTCTGTATGATTTGAGCAATATTGTTTGTACCATATAACAGCTCCTTTCTTACCATCTTTGTTATCTCCAAAATTTAGCACAGTGCCTAGCACAAGATAGAAGGAAATGGAGTAACTTGTCACTGAATATGTGTTGAATGATTCTGCAGAGACTGTAGCTTTTCTCTTATTGCTAATTCTCTTTTTCCTTTTTTGTTTAAATCATCATTCCCTTGTTGGAGGAGAGGAGAAAAACGGTTTGGCTGTATTTATTAATAATACTGTATTTTTTTGTTGCTGATGTTTGGCAGGCTACAGAGGAAGCAGTCACAATGATACGGCTGCTCCATTGACAGGGCTGGGGGGAGGTGCCAGGGTGTTCTATACTCAATCAGAAGGTATTAGTAGGAGTGCAGCCTCCTGTCAGATGGTAATACTATCCACTGGAGTAGATAACATTTCTAATCTCCAAGATCATTTTGGTTTAAGGGACAAATACCGGTACTTTGCTTGTTTGATGAGAGCCCGGTTTGAAGAACATAAGAATGAAAAGGATATGAGGAAGGCCACCCAGCTGCTGAGGGAGGCGGAGGAAGAATTCTGGTTCCGTCAGCACCCACAGCCATATATCTTCCCTGACTCTCCTGGAGGTACCTCCTATGAGAGATACGAGTGTTACAAGGTAGGTGAGGACTACAGTGGCAGCTGCCTTCCGAGCCTTATAAACCACTTGCTTTTTGAGGGGTAGCTATAAGATTTTTGACAGTTATTAGATACTACAGGCATACCTCATTTTATTGTATTTTATTATGCTTTGCAGGTACTGACTTTTTACAAATTGAAGGTTTGTGGGAACCCTGTGTCAAGCAAGTCTTATTGGCACTATTTTTTTCAACAGCATGTGCTCACTTTGTGTCTGTGTGTCACATTTTAGCAGTTCTCTCAATACAAATATTTCATGCTTTTTCATTATTCTATTATGATGATCTGTGATCATTCATCTTTGATATTACTGTTGTTTTGGGGCACCACAAACTATGCCCATATAAGACAGTGGACTTAATTGATAAAGATTGTGTGTGTTCTCAAACTATACCACCTAGCTGTTGCCTTCTTTCTCTCCCTCTCTCCGGGGCTTCCTATTCCCTGAGACATAGGAGTATTGAAATTAGGCCAATTAAAAACCCTACAATGGCCTCTAAGTGTTCAAAGGAAAAGAAGAGTCATACGTCTCTCACTTTAAATCAAAAGCTAAAAATGATTATGCTTAGGGAGGAAGGCATGGTGAAAGCTAAGATGGGCAGAAAGCTAGGCCTCTTGTGCCAAATAGTTAGCCAAGTTGTGAATATAA